ACAACAGCAAAATAGTAGCTGCTTTACGACTACGTTGAGCTTCGACAACAAATCGTATCAAAAGTGAAGACTTTGCCCTATGACTACACTTTATGGGAATTGTAGAACAGTACTCTTTCCTATAGATACCGAATATATGAGCAAGTCAAGGCAAGGCGTTCTTATAATATGCCTTATAACAGCAATTTCTGTTTTAATTTTATTCCCATTTTATTAAGCATATATTAAATATTATATGATCAGCAATTTATTATTAATTTCAAAATGTTGCTGGCGAGCGTTCACTGTACTGAGTGTGTAAGAACACGTATAAGTCGATATTGCCAAAGGGGTTTTGTGTTTAAAACATGAATTTCAAAACAATGAGCCGATCACGTTCCAATAATAACAATATGAAATGCAGCAACAAAAGCGGCTAACAATGATAACGGGTCGCTATTCACGATCCTCAAGCCGATTCAATGCCCCGCAAGTGTGAAAAGAAGAAGATCCAACGCCCAACCCCCACCACCTACCACCCACCTACCGCCCACCGTGGATTTGGCAATAAAAACAATATTTCAAGTAAAACAAACCGAAACCGAAAGAGAGAGACTATCGGCGGTGGCAGCGCTGCCGCTGATAAGGATTATGAACTGTGATTAGAATGGTTGGCACTTCTTTTTCCCGTAGAACATGAAACATTCGATAATAGCCCTGGAAGCAGAATATTTTTGGGGAGCTGTTATCACACAAGAATTCCGCTTTGGACTTTAGTCGAAAGTAGTTTGCACACCCTGTAAAAATAGTACAGTTCAGGGTTAATATGGTTGATGTAGAACAAGACTTAAGATTTTAGCATGATTTAATAGTACAATACAGTATAGTTATAATAGTATATAGTAGCATAGAACATAAAAAAAATTAAATTTCATCGAGAATGTTGTAAAGTATGCGACAAATTTATAAAGAACCTTCTACTTATCTTACTTTCCAGCAGTTTTACTAGCCATGTAGGGTATCTCAAAGCAATATTATTCGCATTATCTTAATGCTTTACGGGTATTATGAGAGGTACTATAAAATAGTGCGCTGTTTCCGCTGTCAATAGGCTGGTTCAACCTTTTTCGTTGCTAATTGATATTTATGATTTTTTTGTACAAATTTGTCTTTTTTATTACGTGCCCCAGACGCTGAGTATGCGAAGTGGAGTGCAGCAAGGGTAAGTTCGAGGTAAAGGTAATTTAAGCTAAGGTTCATGACGCGGGGCGCGTGTAAACATCACGATCAATGACGAAATTACCCAAAACATGGAACGGAGTCGAAAGTCGGATTTCAGGCCTAGACAACCGGGGTTCAATGGAGATGCCGGAGGGTTAAAGGCGTAAGGTGATTGACAGCCGGATTGGTGACCTTTTTTCTGATTATTGTTGTTATTTCTGTATTTCGCTCAGCGCCATTAGTCTAAAAGATAAGGGAATGGGAATGAAAATGGAAATGGAAGTCGACTCAAGACGACTGCGATCGCCTCTGCCACGGCGTACTTTATCATCGACGTCGACGTCGAAGCTGTCGTTCGGCTGATATATAATATAGAAGTTAACTCACAAGGGTTTCCAAAGGCGAACCGAATTTCAGTTGACTCGAATCGCACGAGTCGCGAGGAAGCAAAACTAAAGAACGCTGAAAACCCCTCAATAAGTGAAAATCGTTAGACTTCGCCTTAGGTAAATACAAAGAACAAATACAACAACAAAAAACAACAAAAACCAACATTAATAACCCGAATGTTCGGGCCAGATTGTTCAAACAAATCGATCCGAAAGTGCTGGTGCCAAATTACCCCAAATTTCCCAATTTAAGTTGCAATTTTCGCTGGCAATCAGTGATCAGAAAACTAACACAGAACGCATTTCTCGAATCCAACACGCAGGCCCCGACACATAGAAACAAAACCAACCGACATAATGGCTGCCACCGATATCGCCGAGGAGGCCTTTAACTTGCGCCTGGGCTATCTGAAGCCGGAGACCGTGGAAATCGCCCGAGTGGAACTCCGGGAGACCGAAGAGGTCAAGGCGGAGGCCATCCTCAAGCTCCGGGAGCTGCTCAAGGCCACGCCCGAGCTGAACTACAAGGACGACGACGCCTTCCTCACAGTCTTCCTGCGCGCCTGCCACTTCTACCCCGAAGGAGCCCTGGAAAAGGTGCGTACCATGAAAGCATTCCAGTGATTAAATGCAGCCGGTTATTGTGCCTTCTATTCCCATTTGATCTTTACCATACATGTAAATTGAAATTTCTTATGCTTAAATTATTTTTTATAGACAATTACTTGATTTTTAATCACTTGCAACACTTGCATACCTAGACAAACGTTCAGTTCCATAGCTCTTGATATCAATTAAATACCATATCAATCGGAACTCGCATTCAAAGCCGTAAGTCATAGGTCCGTAAAAGCTATAAAATTATCTTAATAACAATTTTCTTCTGACTATTAAAGTAAAACTAAAAGCGTTCATAAGTGTTAACTAAAACTTAAAAAAGAAACAATTTAACGGACATACAACATTTAAAAGCAATATCCAATTCATATTAACAATAGTCTCTTTACCTTACACCTCATTTTTCTATGCATCTGAAGCTTTAATCAAATCAAATATACTATCTATATTATGAATTGAGCGCCTTAGAAACACAATTCAATGGCTTTTGCTTATCAACGCCGGCAACACAAGTGTCTCCGTATTTGTTTCAACATTGGAGGGATTATCAAATGTATAGAACTTCTGGAACAGTTCTTATCGCCAGCAAACATCAGTCATCCAGAGCTATTGAAATGAGGTCTATAACCGAAGTTCAAGCAAGTGCACTAGATAGTGAGGCAGAGAATATATGCATAAGAGCTAAAAAATTCAGTTTTGCCTAAGTTTTGAAAGTGTTATTCAACTATCCCGGTTGCATCAGCTAATAAGTAAAGAATGCCATGGTTTTAGCTATATATCTTACATTATAATATATATGACTAAACGGTGGCATAAAAAATTTATAGAAAGTGAACACCGCTTTTAAGGTCCAGGTTAAACACTATATAGGCTATTGTAAAAGAAGCTATATGCGATCTGAAATAAAGCCCAACAACAAGATCGGTTTCAGTACCCGTCTGCTGATAACTTTTTGCTTTTGAACCCGCTGACCGGCAAAGAAACCACTGATAAGCGTAGGCGATTTCGATCCGATCGGATTCTCTGCTTGCATGCAGGGTGTTCGATGACTTTAAGAAGAGTGACTGAATCAGGCCATAAAAATCGAACGTTCGCCATTTTTAGTTTATCATCATAGGAAGCCGCATAACTTATATGGACTTTTTATAGTTCTGGCCAATGGTCAAAACCTTATCAATTACGGATTCTAATCTAGCCATGTCACACCTGCCAATAGATGAAGCTCAATGACTACTTCCGTAAGATGTTAGCGTCACCGGTTCAAAGACTTAAAGAGCCAATTGCTCTGTACGTAATGTACCCTATAAAATATCAAAGATAGAAAGTTTTCCATTAGCTACACGCTACATTAGCTACAAATTCATAGTTTAGTTTAGAAGCCTTTACTAATTCGAACATGCATTTTAGATGAAAACCACAGCCAGCTTCCGCAAGGAGTACGCCTCACTGGTCCGAGGACTCCTGGTCGAGCAAGTTAAGGACAAGTTCGTGAAGGGCAGCGTGATCAACGTGCTCAAGAACTGCGACCAGAAGGGTCGACGTGTGCTGATCGTGAACTGTGGCAAGCTCTGGGATCCCAGCGATATTACCAGCGATGAGATGTTCCGCATGCTCTATATGGTGCATCTTGCCGCCCAGCTGGAGGAGGAGACCCAGGTGAGGGGCGTGGTGTGCATCATGGACTTCGAGGGACTGTCGATGAAGCAGGTGAAGGCCCTGTCGCCGAGCTTCTCCAAGCGACTGCTCACATTCATCCAGGAGGCGATGCCCCTTCGCATGAAGGAGGTCCACTTCGTGAAGCAGCCGTTCATCTTCAACATGGTTTGGTCGCTCTTCAAGCCCTTTGTTAAACAAAAGCTGAACAACAGGGTAAGTAAAATGTTTACTTAGTTGTGCAACAAAAAACTGTCTCTAATGGGGGAGAACTTTGTCCCTCCGCCCGCTTAAGTAGGCTACATTTTCTATTCATTGGAAGAATGATCCTTAGGGAGCTGTTTACGCATTTTACTTCTGATTCTTAATATCAGTTCACTGCTTTAACCAACAAGATAGCCAAGAAAATAAATAACTTGTACAAACTACAGCAGAATTAACTTAAAGCTATATTTAAACGAACTGTTTGATGAGAGAATTATAATGTATACTTACTCATCGAATACTTTCTCGCTTCTCCAACAGATGCACTTCCACGGCAGTGACATGAAGTCCTTGCAGAAGTTCCTCGACCCCTCCGTCCTGCCAGCCAACTACAAGGGTACTCTGCCCGCGATCGACTACGGTGGCGTCGAGTGGTTCCCCGCTCTGGAGCAGCAGGCCCAGTATGTGGCCGAGTGGAGCCAGTTGGGCCCGGCCCAGTGGTGATTGCCCCATTTCAATACCCCACTGACTTTCACATCCTACTGACATTAGCTTAACTTTATGCTTGTAAATACTTTCAACATGTGTTTGCTTAGTTCGCAACACTTTGGCAATAAACTAGTTACATAATACTATAAACCACGGAGAAAATGTCTATTATCTTGCCACAAAAAATTTGACCTCATGGGATGATTAACGTAAAATGGAATTTTGCTAATTGGAACATAGTTTCTAGAAAGCTTGCAAGTTAAAGTATGCGATCTTCTAAAGAAATTCTAAATTAAGCAAAAATTGTAGTAACGCCCATGCAGACCAAGAAATTTCATACTCCTATAAGATAACCAACTGAATGCCTCAAATCATGGTCGAATTTGGCTAGGCACTCCCAGGGAAACCCCCACCTACAATGCAACGAAAAGTCAGTTTATTTAAGAATTGGCTAGTTCATGTGAGTGTTTTGGGTTTATTCAACGCGTCTTTGGACTTTCAACTACTTCCATTTTCATACTCCATCATGATCAACATATGCGAACAAAGCATACAAAACGTTTTGCATATCAAACGGAAATTTACAGCTCGGTGAGTGGGTTAATTCGAATATCATTCAAGTATTTTGTGTACTCTTCCTACAATCATGGCAACGATGACCATCATAACTACATCAAATATTACACAATTTAATTTCTATATATATATAAGTGATAAAATGATGAGCTAAATCCAATTTAAAACTTTACATATGTAACACCGATTAGAATCCACACTTCTACATATTGCATGACGACTGAAACTCCTCGCTTAATGAGAGGATGCTAACTTTGTTATCCTTTTTGTTTTCGTTGGAGTCTCTAAATGTGATGTGTCGTGCCTGTCCGCTTACAATACCATATTGGAAGGATCCTCCATGTAGTCGCGGAAGTGCTGCAGCCACCTGGCAGCAACAGCACCATCCACAACACGATGATCAGCGCTCAGGGTGACGGTCAGCATGTTGACCTCCTTGAAACTGCAACACAACGACAGTATTAGGGTGCTACTACGTCTTCTTATTTGGAACTTACCCCTTGAGGCTGTCAGGATCCGCAACCAACTGTTTCGTTGTGGTGCCAATGGCAAGGATGCACGATTGAGGAGGGTTGATAACAGCGGCAAACTGGTTCACACCTGTGAAAGGATTAAATATTTATTAGCAAGTTCAGTCCAGATTTGATATTTATATATATCTTACCAAACATGCCCAGATTAGACACCGAGATGGTGCCGCCCTGGAACTCGTGGGGCTGCAGTTTGTTGTCACGCGCCTTGGCTGCCAGCGCCTTGACATCCTTAGAGATCTCCAGGACTCCCTTGCGGTCGGCATTGAAGACAATGGGGGTAATCAGACCCTTATCTGTGGAGACGGCCACCGAGACATCAACGTCGTCATACTTTCGGATTACTGTGTCCATCCAGGCCGAGTTCGCTTCGGGAACTTTAAGACTGGCGATCGCGACGGCCTTGATGATGAAGTCGTTCACAGAGACGCGGGCACCCTGCTTCTCGTACTTCTTGTTAACCTTCGCGCGGAACTTCAGGAGCTGCAACCATTTAATTAGACTTTAATTGTATTTATTTGGAAGGAAATATTTTCGTGATTACCCACCTTATCCACTTGGCACTGCACGGTGACGTAGTAGTGAGGCAGTTGGGTCTTGGACTCCAGCAGGCGTTTGGCAATCACTGCGCGCATGTTGGTCACCGGGATGTCCTCGTAGCGGGCTCCAGCTGCCCTGGGGGCCTTGGCAGGTGCTGCAGCAGCTGGCTTGGCTGCCGCTTTCTGGCCTGCAAGATCACCAGATTTAATTGAGCCATGGACTCCACTGCCCTTGCCTGCACACAAAAGCCGCGGATTAGTAATGTAACAATTGGACAAAGGGCGCATATGGAAGGGTGTATGTTTGGATAGTGTAATCGGGAGTTTTTGTCATCTGTAACAAATGATTATGATGGGTTTTAGTCAGGTGACACATGCAGAGCGATTGGGGTAGGATGAGAGTAAGAGTGGCATTAGTTGGGATTAAACAACCTTGTAGACGCAGCTGTTGTGCCTCGGCTAGTCGCTTGGCCATGGGACTGGCATACACACGCCCTGTACCTGCTGCAGCTGGAGCAGCGGCGGGAGCTGGTGGGGGCGCAGCGGCTACTGGAGCTGCGGCGGGTGGTGGTGGCGGTGCTGCAGCTGGTGCTGCTGCGGGCGCTGGAGCTGCTGCCGGAGCTGGTGGTGGTGCGCCGGCACCGTCGTCCTTGAAGTTCGCGAAGGCAGCTACGCTACCTTGGTCAGGCACGATTATGCACAGCAGCTGGCCCACGGGAACGTCCTTGGTGCCGCCCTGGATGAGAATCTTGGCCAGAAAGCCCTCCTCGGGCGTCTCAAAGCCCATGGTGGCCTTGTCCGTCTCAATCTCGCACAGCAGGTCACCTAAAATAAGGGTGTCATGAATTTGATCCTGGGATTCGGGGTCTTAGGTATTTAGCATACGCACCTTCGTTAAGCTTGTCGCCCTCCTTCTTCTCCCAGCTGACAATCGATCCGCGCTCCATGGTGGGGGAAAGAGCAGGCAGTGGCACCCTAATGTGATCCGGAAGGTTGGAATAGGCACGGGCGAAGTTGTAGCTCCATGCGATCGGTGACTGGCTAGTGGTAAGTTTTGACCTGCATGATATTGAAAGAGAACTTGTTTAGTTTCAAGTTTGATTTTAAAAGTGCATGCACTCATTACAAATCAATTTGGAAATATTGCATTAATTCGATAAGCCTTATATTTTGCATTATAGTTACATGTGTATGTAGCTTTCCTTGGAAACTACATTTGCTACACATCCAATTCTTAAGGGTGCAATTTTTGTATGACCTGTTTTAAAAACAAATCGACCTGACAAATTTAATGAAAACATTTTGAATGGATTAATTTATGGCCGCTCGATCAGCTGTTAGTTTGTTGTTGTTTACGTACCCACTTTCCGGTACTATCTACACATTCAGGCGTTCAATCGACCACTCGTCAGATGTAAACAATGGTCCCCAAAAAAGAGTGACCCATTAAATCATTAGCAGGAATTTTCCAGCTTATCAGCCAGCCGAAACACAATCACGCATCATGCGATATAGAAAAGCGTGTACTCGACCTTGGCCATAAACCAAATCAGCAGTGGAGCACGCACCACACACGCAAATCGCATGGGTGTGTGTGTGGGTGCGTGCGTGTGTGTGATTGGGGGAATACGAGATGGATGCTAAATAGTTGGACACGGGACTGTCAATCATCGCCCCCCTGCAGGTCCCACAAATCCCGCTGCAGCGTACGCATTTTGCAATATTACACAACCATTTCTAACCTCAACGAAAGCGGGGAGAATTGGGGAAATTGGGGGATTTTTACCTGATGCTCTGGAGATTCCGGGAGTTGATCAGCTGGCAGCTGAGGGCGCGCACCACCACATTTCCGGCCGATCGGCGGACATAGGTGGCGTTATTCGATCGCAGGAGCACGGAGCGAAGGGCCCCGAGTTCGTTTCGTGTTGTTGCAAGGGAGCGCAGCATATTCGTCCTTTATCGTCGATCAACCCGGGAAATCCTAATCCGAATCCTGATGTGACAACGCTCGTGGGTGTAGTGGATCTAATGGCGTCGCGTCTTTCGGAATTTTGACGAATGAATCGAGTCGAAAAACGGCAAAGTCGAGAATTTACAAAATTATGCCGATAACCTTACGGAGGTCAGTGTGAACGCAGACGGAACGCCAATAAATGCCCAAGCGGTGTTCAAAATACCGAAACATACCAGCACTTATTTAGCGGCTCGGAGAATTAAATTTAAAATTATTTCGGAGATATTTTTGACAGAGGTATCATAGTGTATTGAATGGATATTCCCCTGCATGATATTTTCCATATGAACCACCACTTTAGTAATATGTAGTATCCCTTAACTGTTCTGCTAAGTTCTTATCGCATTTTCTCAACAATGGATTGTTTTAAAAAGTAACGATTTTAAATTGTTTTAATTCTCCAATTGGATAATGATAATCCAAAATGGATAATTCCAATCTGGAAAAATGAGTATGATTGATTTAGGCGTCGCGTTTGGTCACACTTTTTTCGTGAGAGTCAGCATTCCGATAGTTTTTTATGCACCTTACACACTAGCAAAAAGTAGGAGAAAGCTTCCAAATAAGAGATTAATATAATATTAATATGTAGCCCCCATATGTTATTCAAATTGTAAGAATATTATTGATGTATAATAATGCTTTTGTCCAAATATAAATAAATTAAGACTTAACTAGGTAGAACTGCCATTATAGTCAAGGGTTATATACGCAAAATTAAATGTCACTATAGATGATGGACGGTTTGTTATTATTTATTTCGGAGCATAAACAATCTATTTTTATACCAAACCCCACAACCTGTTTGGAAACTTGAGGAGGTTGTATTTAAAAGATTATAAAACTTGACGACTAAATAAATCACACAATACGTCGTATGATATAATTTCATGGAATTAAATGTAATACTTATAGCAATGATCATTTTTTAGTTGTTCCCTTTGTGATAGATATCTTTCCAATTAAAGTAAAGTAACACACACATACGTATAGTAACACACACATACGTATAGAAAGAAGCCATTCTTTTATTCGTTATTTACGTTTTATTTAAAAAAAAAGAACTGAAGGAAAGGAGTACTTTAATATTTTACTAATTTAGGTAATCTGGTAAACACTTGTGCCGGTCGCTTTCGTATGCAAATCGCCTCATATTGAGTGTACTTCAACATGTGCCGGGTTACGGACCACACCAGAGCACCTGATGAAGTACAATAGACATGGGAGACAGTTGATACACATGGGATTTCTTTCGAGGACTCGCCTGCGAGCATTTGTCTTATTTATATGGTGGAGATGGAGATATATGTCTGGCACCACGCGCGCTACTTCAGGTACCTGACTGTATATAAAAAACCAGCCCCGGTCACTGATTAGCGCGCAAGGTAGGAGACTTTTCAGTCGGGGGAACATCATCACATACAACGAGTAGGAGCTGCGGCTGGGGCTGCAGTTGAAGATGTAGACATAAAGCCAAGCCAAGCCCAGTCAGGTTTCTTTTTCACCATTTGCAGTTCTGAGACAGATGTTTGGCCGCCGCCTGGCAACAAAACTGCATCAGCGAATGGCGACCCCCTTTTGGGGAGGGGGTCATGGGAGGCGACCTTGTGCCTGGTATTAGGTCTCCGCTTTGGGGTTAACGATCTCTGCGAGCTTTGTAGTTGTACGTGTTGATGATGATGACGCCATGCGAATTTTATGCAATAACAATGCCAAAATTAGTCATATGAGAGCAGAGAACTGGAACCAGGGGCGTATCTAGAGTTAACTTTGGAGGGTTTTCACTGCCAAGTCTTCCACTCTTCAAGTGCTGAAAGTTGTGTACTAATTGTGTTCGATTGTCAAGGGATTTACCAACTCCTTCAGGGGGTAGAATTGACCCCCCTAGTTGCGCCTCTGGAGTGCTAATGACCACATAGGACGTGACGTCATCCGTCGGCGAATTATTACATTTCATTCAGCAAATTCTCTTTTTCTTGCGCTTCGTCCGGCAGACCCTTGATATTCTATATTTGAAACGCTGTAAAGAGACAAGCAAAGGAAATGAAAGCCAAAGAAGACGCAATAAAAGTGAGCATAAAAATGAAACAAAAAAAAAAAAAAAAAAAGAACCGGCGTTTTAAGCTCTCTCTCTCTCGTTCTCTCTCCCTCTCTCTGTTACTAACCGCAGCTACGTGCGTGATCGCTCACACACACATTCTCGCATATAGGCACACAATTCAGCTGAGACACACACGTGCCTTCCACACATTCGCGAATTCTTTCAAAGCTGTGTGGGTATTTAAATTTTTGCAAAAGTATTTTTTAACTGCGACTGGCTTCTTTTTTTACAACACGCCTCATAAACCTGCGATCGCGAACAGCTTTGGACTGTGAATAATGGCGAATTTCTGCGCTACAGACGGTTTTATATATGTACATATATTTTCTTATATATGTGCGGTACATAAATGAGCAGCCATTGCTTGGGTGGGGCATTCCTAACCTCAAAAACCGACTGTCTTCGCTTGTGCATGTGTGTGTGTTTGTATGCCTGTGTGGGTATCTCCTCGCTCTTCGCTTCTTTTCTTATGCAGCAAAAATGCAGCACATGCTTTTTCCTAGCCAAGCCATCGTTTTTTGTTGTTGCCCTTAACCCTGAGCAATGAAAAAAGAAAAGAAATGGAAGTTTCTGCTCAAAATTCGATCATACACACACACACTCACACAATGAGCTTTGTCTGGGCTAACAAAAAAAAATCTAAAATTAATATTTGAGCGACAAAAAGTTCCCCAAAAAAGCTACGTCTGTATGGGTTGGTTATATGGAAATATGTACAATCATGTGGTCAGCATTTGCGTCATTTTTTTCTCGTAGTGTAGCGAAAAAAGCTGCCTTGTGATATCAAAGTGCTAAAAATAAACCTCGCTCTTCTTTCTACCCATCTCTTTTGTGAGTTCTTTCACGTTCTTTAATTCCTGGTGGTAGAAAAACCCAGAAGCTCCAGAAACCACGTTGATGTATCGCTTTCTCTGTCGCTCGAATTTCACAATATGTTTCAGTTCCGTTTTGCGATTTTTCGTCTTTTTTTCTTGCGACTGAAAACTTCCGTTGCAGTTTTCCTTGGCTTTGCCTCTCACACACGCACGCACCACACATACACGCACACCAACACGCGCGTTAACTATTTTTCTATGAATATTTCTTTTTCTTTAGTGGCTCGCTCTCTTTTCTCCCACGTTGTTGTCTCCCATTTGGTGCGAAACGAACGACTGTGCCAAAGCCCAGAAACTGTCTGGCCTTTTATTTTATATGGCCGGGCCGGGCCGATTCGATTCCGATTTTCCTGCCCACAGAGATAGAGATAAACCGAAAATCGGCAAAAGGCCAGAGTGGCGAATGCCAGGAAAGCTGCGAAGTGAGCGAACCGCGTTTGCCGGCTGTTGGCGATCAAATGCTCAATGTCTGCGGCAAATCAAGAGCCAAATGCGCGAATTTTATTCGCAGACGTCGACGTCGGACGTCGCCGTCGGCAGCGGCAGCGACAGCGGCAGCAGCGCCGCTCTCTTTCGCCCCGTTTTGTTGCCATTTCTCTCGCACAGTGGCGCCGCCGTCGAAAAGGGGGGCACTAAAAGGGGGCGACACTCCGTCGAGACACTGCTGCTGCTGCTTCCTGCTTCCTCTTCCTCACCCACATGCACTCACACGGCCACGCGCAGGGGAAGTGCATATGGGGTACAGTGGGCACGCTGTGCATTCAATGAATACCGCACATACTACAATGTACAAAATATTATTACAGAAAACAAAACATTTTATTATAAAGCCATATGTCACTATTTCTTGATACACATGTATTTATGTATATATGTAAATGTACTTTTAGATGTATGTATGTATAGAGTTTGGTTTTTGGTTCTGAGAAGATACAAACGAAATTAGTGCTAATTGTAAAAAAACTTTTTATTGCGAAATGTTTTTTTCTTCCATCAATTTCTTTTTGAGAGTTTATGTGCATTTGTAGTTCATGTACATATGTATGTATGTACATATGTACATATGCTTTATGAAACTTTTAAATTCTTATATAGGTGTTTCTATAAATAATGATTGTAGAAGCAACCTAATATAAGCATTATCGAGCATTTACTGTATGTATACACATACATTTGAGTTCCTTTGTTATAGAACTGCACCACCATAAAACATACTGCAACAAAAAGCTGGTACAGTGGGCTGAAACTTAATGAATGTTTTGAAAGTCTTATAAAATAACTCATTCATTCATTACGGAAATTATCATATTTACAATAGATGTTTGCAGAAAATGGGATCACTAGGAATTGTCATGGTTTTTTTTTTGTTCGAAGGGTTCTTGGAAATCCATATTTTACCGTGCCTCATGTTTTATAGGAAATTGTTATCAAACACGTCTAGGAATATTCATTGGTCTGACTAACCATTGTTTTGGTCCCTTGTTCGATCTTAATCTTCCGCTTCTAGGAACTATGTATGTATGTATGTACATCACAGGTAGATTACTTGGAAAGCATTGTAGCATAATATATGTGTGTAGATTGCAATAATGCCATTGCTCTAATGCTTACAAGATAAACTTAAGTACATACATATGTATGTAAAAACTATATGCAATAAGTTTTTTCGTTTTTTTCATAAGTTGATTAAAGATCAAGACGTATGTACAGATGTACATATATACATTAATATGTATTAATACTTTGCAGTCCTGATTACAGAAAACATGAGGAACTTTTCTATGGAAAATGTATTTAAAGTCATGATTAATTGTGGATTTAACTGCCCACTGTGCTCTCCATCTCACTCTCTGGCTGCTGCTCTCTGCTCGACGCTCTGCAGCGCTGTTCCCGGTGCATGTGTATGCTTTTTGGGTACACCCCGCCAATCCCGCGCCCAAAGGCAACCCGTCTGGTCTGCACACCTCTCGCCCCTCTCACCTGTCTCTCCCGGCAAAGCGACAATGTCAATGCGCCCGTCTCCTTGGTGTGTGTGCACTTTTTGCGCTGCTACACACACACAAAGTCCACTCCTTGACTCACCTCTCTTCCTTTCCTCTTCCTCTTCCACCTTGGGTCTTTGGTTTCTCCATGATTCATCTACATAAATCTCAAGGCAAGTCTTTGATCGTAAACCGAGTATATTTTTCTTATTTTTTAAGCTTTTTTCGTTTTGAGAATTTCACTATGTAACTTAAGACTCTAATTACTACAATTCTTAGCTACCAACAAGTACAGACACAGACACGTACATACATATGTTTACAATAGGCTGGCCTTAAGGTCTACCAACAAATATTAAAAAGTTGAGATAGGAGCTCCCTAAAAACCATTCTCCAATTGATGTCAGCCTCGTTATACCACTGTATAATAATTACGAAAGTGGGTTTACAAAAAGTTTTCTACATTAAGGCAATTATCGGCTAAGATAAATGCAAATAATTATGATTTTAGCAAGGTAATCAAGCCACCAAAATACAAGAGGCTGCCAAGATTGACGAGGAATGGAGATGTGGTTCTTCAGAAGTCCACCCAAATATAAAATCGTTGAAATCAGGAATTCGGAGCCAAGGATTCGTCATCGTCGTCGGCGTCCGCAAAGCATGCCCGGGCATGCTTCCAACCACGTGGTTATGGAGATGAGCTCGGCTGGATATTGATGAACGGCTGCCATCTCAAGCAGGAGTCGTCGATCTTGGGGAAGGTTCCTCTTCGCTTCACCCTCTCCTCGTACTCGTCCAGGACGTCCTGGGAAGAAGCATATATCAGTTTGGGTATTCCCTTGAGTTCACTTTAAGGCCTTACCTGCTTTTTGAGCACTATGTGCTTGCCCTTCCAGTACTTCATCATTCCGAGAGCTTGAAGGGTGCTCACAATGTCGTATGAGTATATAGCAGTTTCCTGAACAGGCAATGCATATGAAATAAATTATTTTATTTGTGTTATTTAAAAAATGTCTATCAAGCTCACCTGCGAAACATCCTTGATGGCGATCGTGTTTCCCGATCGATTGCACAGGTAGTCCAGGAGCACATCCTTCCAGTATGAGCGGTACGAGATCAGGCCCAGATCGGATAGAGGTTTCTCAGGCGAGCCGATTTTTCCCTCCACGCGGGTCAGCAGATAGCCTGCAAGTAAGCCGGAAAGGATGCGGATGCGGGTTAAATGTAGACCCCAAGAAGTATGCTACAGATAGAGTCGCAACGGAGTTCCTCGAGTTCCGGCGTATTATTTATGGTGACCAACTTTGGGCCCGCCCTCTGCCTCGCCAGTGTGTGTGTGTGGGTGCTTAAGTGTGTTCGTGTTGTGTCTAGACAGGATTCCGCAAAGTATTCAAGGGGACCCGGGGGCAGGGGATCCACATTTAAGCAACGTTCTGGCGTACATTCAACCCAACGACAGTGTCACCCCCAAAGGACCCACACCAAGAAAATATACTCTGGATTCTAGAGCCGTCTGGCAGCAACAATTCCCGTCTCTAGATAACAACAACCACACGGCGGAGAGAGGAGCGGCGGCGGGGAGAAGCAGCAGCAGCAGCAGCAACAATGAGTGCAACCTAAGTAAATTGACGAGGACGAGAGAGCGAGGACACAACACAAAATCCACTGAGGCAGGCTCAGGAAAAAAACAGTTAGCAGAAGAAGAGGAGGCACATAGGAGCTGAGCGAGAGAGGAGCACGGCACCATGGGCGTAGCTAGCGTGAATTATAAATACGCCTAAAAGCAGGCCGTAGTTTGCTGCGAATACCTCATGGTAGGAAATTACCAAATGAATGATTATTTTGTTATTTTTATTTATTGCATTGAATCCTATTTTCATTTCCAGGATAACTGATATTAACGTGTGCCCCCTTGCTGCACCCATGACGCCAGCTGTGGAGCAACGGGAGAGTAAAATGGGAGACCAGGACTCACTCAATGGCAGACGGCAGACACAGCTGAGAGGGCAGACGGAAAAGGCGGGAATGATGCAAGAAGCATGGGGCAGGGGGAAGAATTCTGCTGACTGACTGGACGAGCGCAGGGTTGAACGCACACAAGCAAAAGTAAACGCAGCGCTTGGCTTTTTGCTCGACCGAGCACAGTGGAACCAAAGTAACAAATCAAGATGGAATATGAGTCCGCGTAGATAGATCAGTAATACAAGTCAACTTAACTATACTTCTTAAAAAAAAGTTTTGATACATAAGTATTTCGGCTTTTACATACATATGTATGTGTGTACATTATAGCATAAAGTTAAAAGACTTTCAAATGATCGTTAGGATATATTCTTTTGGTCTCGGCCCACTGTGCGCTGTATTTTATGCAGTTCGAGGGGCTGCCCCCTCGCCATGCTCCTTATGCGACTTTTGGCCAGAAGAGGGCGTTTTCGGGTGGCACTTTGATTTCTTTGTGCCGCACTTCGTCTCGCTCCTTGCCCCCTCCCCATACTCCTAGACGTGATAAATCCTGGCGCAGCGGGACGGGAGAGCGGTGTTGGTGCGAGCGAAAGGGGGAGTATGGGTGAGAACGTCGAGACGACTTTATCGATCCAATCTGATTCGCACAGTCGAGCTCTCGCTCTTGCTCGCACTTGCACACTCGCCGCTGACGCAGCAACATTGTTGTTGCATAGCCATAGGCGCTGCGAACGAACAGTAATGAGTTAAAGAATGAAAATTTACGCTAAATGTGCAAAAGGGGACGGCGACTTCAACTTTAACTCAAATTAGCAAGGCTCTAATTATTATTTCTATGCGTTTTTCTTGTTTTTTATGCAGCTACCAGAGTATGGAACGCAGTGAGTAATGAGCGGCGAGAGAGCGAAACAAAGAGAGAGTTACCGTTACTCGCTCTTTTGTGCTCGCCAAAGAGGACGACGCCCTTTCATTGTGACCTGTCCTGACCTTTGTTGTCTGCCGCCAACAGTTGTTGTTTTTGTTGCTCTTCTGGTGTTGTTGTGTCTGCTAAATTTTATCTACAGTCAAGCTTCTATAGACTCACAGACAATTTGGAGTAGAAGCCAATTATTTTTGAAACTTATTTCTGTTTCCCAAAAAAGTTGAATTTTTTAATACTTTCAAGCAACAAATTAGCTTTAAATTGGTTTTTAGGATCCAAACACATTTTTTAAGCTTCTTAAACCAAGGCTCAATATTTTGTATGATATTAGGTTTGTTATCTGTCGTTGCATTACAGATTACACATTTTTAATACTATCATCAAAGATTCCTTTAGGGAATCCTCACTGTAAGTGCTTTTTGCGGGTATGTTGCTTATGCGGGACTCCCAAAAGATAAAAGCAAACTTTAAGCGGCACGTTTCGTATATTTTTGGCAACTTTGGTACATTTTGTTTGTGGGTTTTTAGAAAGTTTCGTTAATTAATGCAGTAGGTGGCAACCCTTGTATTTTGGCCCCCTCATTTGCATTTTGCGTGCACCTGGACATACCTAAATGCTGTATGGCCGTACCGCTCTAACACACATGGGTAGAGCTGTTCGAATTTCGGCGGACTGGTGGGTTAAGTTAACCCCTGTCTGTCTGCAAGTATTCCTTCCACCTGCCATGTGCAAAATAACCAATTCCAGTTAATAATGACGAAAATGATTTGCACGCCGTCCAGTACATAGAACAAAATAATTTTCAAGTACAAAACGGTAATCAAAGAAATATACGTATATAATTATATACTCGTATAAAAAAAGTTTTCGTGCTGTCTAGTCTACTAAAATATACAGTGATCAAACTTTGGTGGAGACTTTAAAAAGCTGTTTAAGCAAAAGATTCTTTTAGTCTAAGGAATTCCCGATATTAATTTAATAATAATTTAATAATTGACAGTAGACAATAAAAAAATGAATTTTTAGATACAAATTTAGTAAGTTAAGTTTTTGATGGATCTAGATTTTAGTCTAAAGCTTTTACCACTTTATAATACACCAACTAGCTACCAAAGTAAGTGCCACAATATAAGCCATAAAACAATCAATCCAAAGTCTGAAACAAAGCTCTTATTTAAAAGTTGAATTATACCAGATTTCCCTGAGATAGATTAGATTAATCAATTATTTTCCGTGCACCTCCCTCGCTCTCTCAACATGACTTCCGCTCCCTCCTCTCTTTCTTTGGTTGACCATTACTCTTTTTGCCGGCCGGCACTTGGCTTTGTGTCTGTGGGCCTTCGCGTGTGTCTGTGTAAGGTCAATGTCGTTTCGCTCGCTCTTTCGTTCGTTCATTACCGCCCAACCCCCCTGACCACCTCTCAAACCTTCCACGCCCGTGGCATTGCATGTATTGACTTTACATAGACACAAATGCCGTCGCCTCTGCCGGCGCCGCTGTCGGCGTCGACGCCATTGCGAATGTAAATGTATGACTCAAGACTCTCTTTGTCTTTCCCCACTCCCCTTTGCACTACGATGGCTGGGTAATTCTTTTTTTCATAATTTCTTACTTAGCTACCTTTTTTTGGGTTGTGTGTGTTTTTATTGTCTAGTCTGTGGGCTTGGATTAATTTTAAACAATTTTCGTTGCAGCCGCCTAAAATTACTTATGCGATATGCAGTGCACCTGTGTGTGTCTACGTTTAATTGATGCAGAAATTGCATGTTCTGCACCTGGAGAAGAAGAAGGAGTGAAGGCAAAGGTGGGGAAAACTGCAATTGGAAAGCTGAGCCAAAGTCTCCTTCATGTTTGGCTTTTCTCATGCAATGATGATTACATTTCACACACACCTGCACACCGCACACACACACAACCACACTTATGACTCAGCGGAAGAAGAAGAAGAAGGGGAACAAAGACTCAATAAAGCCAGAAAATTTTAGTGGCCAATATACTTTTTCACTAACAAGCCTCATTAAGGCCCAATTTCATTGGAATCCCAACCACTCCGTGATATTATATGATTTTCAGGGTCACTGTGGTCTTCCAGTGGAAGAATTGCGCAGAAGAGACCACAGAAGAATTCTTCGTTTGAGGTCAATTACACTTTTAATCGGCTCACAATAAAGAAACATTTATATTGGCTTCCCAGTTGTTCATATTAGTAAACTAACATCAAGGCATAGTTTTTGAACAACATTAAATATTTAAGATAAAATTTATTGAATTTTGAGCTCGCTTGTGTACAACATATTGGGAATCCTTTGTTTAGCAGCAAATCGGTCGATCGAAAAATGTAAATAAATGGTTTGATATTTAATCGATAAGAAATTATTCCATAAAAACTAAATACATTTCAAAAACCAATAAGACTTCTCTTAGATTAAGTCTGAAGTTATAATATCGCAAGATAAAGTTCGTTGGAAGCATAGTAAGATGAGTTGATGTTGAGCAAGATGATGTATATTTGATAAGATAAGATAAGCAGACAAATCCTTTAAACAATTTCTAATAGATAAGAAGTTGTAGTACTATCATAATTAAGTGCAACAAGTGACATTACCTGGAAAGACAATCCCCACTTAACTGTACCAAACTGTATTAACAATTCTAAGTTCTGAGTAGAGTCTCAAGTGTTAACTTACTGAAATCGATGAGTAATCTTCCATAACCCTTTCGCTGGTATGGCGGCAATGTTAAAATACAGGACACATTGTAAAACGAGTTCTTCTCCTGCAGGAAAGGAATATGCTGTAAAGAAAGAAAAAAGTGTATGAAATGATTAACAAATCAGAAGCACCAATAAACCAGGTATTTATAAGCGGTAATTTAAGGATTTTACTAATCCAGTTAAAAGTAAGCAAAGGTTAGCGCACATATTATTAAAATTAAATGAATTGCAAAGATTCAAGAACAATGGCAGACGCTAAAGGAGTGGGGAAAATGATGCTTGGAGTTGGGAAAAATCGACGAATAGAGGTATGGGAAAAACTTCAGAGTTGGGGGATCAGACAGACATTTTCCAGACAAAAGATGAGGGGAAATGGGGCCTGTGCAAGTGGCAGAGATGATGGCAACATTTATCTGTCGCTTTTGGCTTTTTTCGGCAGTTCAATGACCAGCAAAATTAAACGAATCGATAGACAGCCAGCACCAGAGACAGTCAGACAGAGATGGCTGCAGCGGCGGGAAAGAGATGGCCAAATTGGCGAGAGAACGGTGCGTAAATACATAAACAAACGCACATACATACATAGCAGCTGCAGGAGCAGCACGAGGACCACGAGTCTGGGGATCGGGATATATACGCAAGACAGACTGGATGGATACATGGATATAGCCATGCCCAGCCCAGCACAGCCCCCTCTTCTCACGGTCATTGCCAAAAAAGAAACAATCCCATGGAGAACACACAGTGCCAAAATCATTGAGAAATTACAACATTTAAGTGCTTAACAAATATAAAAGGCCGTATTTGGCAAGCTTAGTGCTCATCAGAAAAAGAGTTTTTAAATAAAAAGTTACAATATTAGAAGTGAGTATGGTATGCAGGGTGAAATACGCAAGAACTTCTTGAGTTAAAGAATATTGTAAGAACACCTAAAACCCATTTAAATGCCCACGTTTTCATTCCTGTGTGCTGGATCTGGAATATGGCAACAATTCGGAAATTCATTTATGTACACTGCGGGTTTTTCATTCTGATTTTCCCTTTGTAGTACCGCCTGGTTTTTGTTTTCTGAGGTCTGTTCTTTTTTTTTGCTCGTTTTTCCTTTGTCTGCCCTGATGTCTGGGAACGCAACCACATAGCAGAGGAGTCCCTGTTTCCCAATCTGATCCCCCCGCCAACACCCCGAGATCCTTCACCCCGGATTTTCCTGGCCCAGCCCGGGCAATCGCAGTTTGTGGAGCAGGCGCAGACGCAGAATCAGAAATTCCCGCACCCGGCCCAGAGGTGCACGACCTCAATCGTGTCCCCAGCATCCGAGCATCGGAGCAGCGTGCCCTGCCTGCCAATCCATCTCCCTCCTCCAATCCTCGGTGTCTGGCTGCTGTCTGGACCCCGTTTTGGAGTCAGAGAGCTGGAGGTTAACTGCGGGACAAAGGATTGCCGAAAATTATCACTGTCAAATGCGAAGGGGTTGGGTGTCCACTAGAGTTTATACGCAGCCTAGTCTGCAGATGCAATGCCATGATATAGGGATAAAGATTTGATCCTACAGGCAATTTACACTGAGTTCGTCATCGATACGATTTCAAAATATAAATTAATAAATTCAAATGATTCAAACGATTATCCCATTCTTAACTTCTCTTAGATAGTCTTGAAAATATTTCCATATCTGCTTAAAAACATTCCTTAAACATTTTCAAGGGAGTATTTTTCGTCACCAGGCAGTAACGAAATTATGAATGTCCCAGCACGAGCGTAGTAAATATATGTAAACTTGTAGTATGTGTAGGGACTGCCAAATTCTGACTGCCTCGGGATGCTGCGCCAGCACTGCGAGGGTTCACAAAGGGATTTCCAAAGAGGGGCATCATCAGGAGCAGGAGCAGGAGCATCGGGAGCAGAGTAGGAGGAGCAGCTGCAGCATCAGCCAACGACATGCGCAATTTGTAACACAAACCCAGTCTCTGCCAGCGCCCAAAAACTTTCTGCATTCTGCAGTAAAACTGCGAGCCGAAGGTGGGATCCCAAAGCCCGTGAATGTATCGCCGGACCCGTATTTTCCGTATATTCTGGGGGAGGTCAAGAAACCGTGGCCGTGGCTGCTTTTTAAAGCCAGGGGAAATGACTCTCTCGTTCGCGCTCCTTGTTTCTCTCTGTCTGTTGCTTATTTACCCGAAAACGTTGACAAAAAAACTAAATGGAAAAATCATCTGGTTTTCGGTGGGCATGGTCAAGGCAGGGCCACTGCCTCTGCATCTGAGTACAACCATATAGTCTGGTCGGCGGTACATATGTATGTATGAACCGTACATGGGCTGTGGCTGACGTTCAGAGTCTGGGATACCGGCTTCTACATTCCTCGCATCTCTATTCCGTCTCCAGACATAAAGGAATCATAAAACTGTAAAATGTTATTATTCAATTTTATGCTGGGGAATAACCATAAAAGTTCGGGAACATTCTGGCGCACGATTGAGGCGTGACTATTCAAATTATAAGCAATTAGGAATCGAAATCATTAGAGCAGGATTACTTTTCCGGTTTTGGTTTCCATTTGCTTAAGACTAAAGGGGAAGCAGTAATGTTTGTAGTTAAGAATATAAGTTAGGATAAGCTCTGCAAGCAATGCACTTTAAAACGTTTTATTTTCATAAGTTTTCTATTAAGCTGTTTTTTAAATATCCTCATTTTGCTTAAATATGTCACTCAATTTCAAATTTTAAATTATTAATTCAGTTACTACTCTTAAACGCTTTTCGGCGTTGCATATGTATGCATATTAATATTTTTAAAATGGAAGGGAAACAGGAAAATGAAAGTGCACTGGTTATTTCAACTGCGTAATGTTTGATTTTGAAATTAAGTAAATAGTGATTTGTTTGGTTAAGCATAATGGGTTGCCAACAATTATCAAAGAAAATATAAATTGTAAATGATTACTTCACTTACCTTGCTGAAATAACCAACAATATGGCAGCCGTCCACATCGGCCAGCGTCATGATGTAGAAAAGAAAGGGCTCCACATCGTAGTATAGGGTTTTGTGATCCAGGAAGAACTTTGCCAGCAGGCACAAATGTTGACAGTATTGCTTATAACGCTTCCCGTCCACCTGCCACACCTGTAGTTTGCCCTTGCGGTATATCTCATCGCCCGGCGGATGCCGCCAGACGCATTTCTCGGCATGCCGCTTAATGCCCGTCTCTGATTTTTGGTAGCGCAGGCAGAACTCGCAGATGTACATTTTGGGCAGGCGGGCAGCATCGTCCGGATAGGGGGATTGATACCAGACCTTCATCTTGTACTTGCCCATGCTGATATATCTGTCATACGAAGGAGTGGTAATTGGATCTTCTTGAGTTTGTTATATTACTAAACACTTACTTTATTCCCTTTCCCACGGGCAGGTCTTTGAGTTCGTCTTCTATCCTTTCGGAGGCTTGAGCTTGTGCTTCCCGGAACAATTGCAAATCATAGTCAGGCACCAGGCCTGACAGATTTGGTTCCCGGTCCTCATCCGTTACGTCTTTTTCCAACTTAACCTGACGGGTAATGGAGTATCGAAATATGTAATTGGCAATAGTCTAATATTGAATTTTGCATTAGTTGTATCCTTACCTTCGAGTCCAGGAAATTGTTATTCGCCGGCTTAAAGTTAGCCCTTGACTCGCGAATTTTGGCCAGAAACTCGCGCTGCTCGGGCGAGAGCGTCTTGAGATTGGTGCTTTGGTTACCCGGCGCTGTCACAATGTTGACGGGCATCTTTAGTCGCTGTTCATTCCTCAGTTTTCTCTCATTAGCCCGCTCTTTACACTCCGAGGCGGACATGTTGTGGTAGATAGGACAGGCCTCTGGCAAAAAGTGCTTGTCCAAATTGCCACTCAGGTGTCCGGATGAATCGCAGCCCTCGATGGGGCACTTCTTTTCTGTCTGGGTAATAGGTGACACGGGTCGGGATTTAATGGAGCTCAGGACTCCACTGCTGATTCCGATGGATTCCCTTTTCACCTTGCTTTTGCTGGCGTTCAAATTCGAGGGCGCTGGCTTTTTGGCGGCACTCTTGGAGATCATCATTTTGTCATCTTCTAGGTCGCCATCGGATTCAGAATCGGTGTCCTGTTTGGGCTGCTGTTTTGTCCTTCGCATGCTGAGTGAACGGGTGAGTTTCCTCATGGGATTGGCCTTGTCTTTTCGCTCTTCTTCGCTGTCTGAGTTTTGCATTTTTGTTGGACCGCTCCTCTTACCTGCAGTAGTTCAAGTTGAAAAGATTATTATAAACCTATTTATCAATATTAAAATCTTGATATACTCTGCCTACCTTTAGCTCCTCCTTTTACTGGCTGCGAGCTGTAGGAGTTGCTGGAATCACTTCCTTCAGACTCGCTTCCAGAGCTTGATTCATCGCCTGAGTTGGAGCCACTTTCGGAGTCCGAACTGCCGTCACTGCTGATCACCGGTCCTCCCCCATTTTTCTTTGCCGGCGGCAGTTTTCCTCGGATTGGCTTTGGCCTCACCGTGCTGGCCATTTTGAGGGGAACCTTGCGGCCGTTCTTGACGATCTTCATTGAGTCATCCGTACTGTTGGACGAGGAGGAGAGCGAGGGTCGTTTGCCCTCGCCGTTTTCCAGTGATCGGTTGGTGTTGTTGTTTGCTGATCGCTGGGTAGGATTGCTGGGTTTGTTAGCTGGATTGCTGGGCTTGTTGACGGACGCGGGTGGTTTCCTTCTGGCTGCAGAGGCGGCAGCTGCCGCTGTTACAGTGGAACTGCCCATGGCACGGGCGTTCTTCTTGGCCGGCGGCGCCGAATCCTCATCCTCGTCGTCATCGCTGGAGAGTTTACTTTTGGGAGGATTAGTTACTTTCCTGACGGAGGGCGCTACATTCGCCTTGGATTTTTCCTCCGCCGCCGGAGGAGCAGGCTTTCTTCTCTGTGCATTCCCGGAATTCGTTTGTTGTGGCGTTTGCGTCTGCGATTTGGCGGAGGAATTCGTGGATGGTTTCTCCTCCGGCGTCGCACTGCTGGAATCCGTGTCCGAGCTGCTGCCCGTCTCGGAACTGGTGGATCCGCTGGTGGAGGAGCTGCCCGACTCCGAGCTGCTGCTGCCGGACTCCAAGGCCATTTTTGTATCGCAGAACGTTTTTTAATATTTGTACACAAAAATGCCTGTTTTCTGGTATTGTTTTGATTAGAGTGACCAGAGGTGTGTGCCAACAGGAATGCCATGGGAATCGGCCGGAACTATCGGCTAACGAGGGCTAGAGATGCGCTATTAGTACACACAACTTTCGCATTCTAATGATATTTTAGCTAGCAAATTTGAAATGTGCAAATGAACCTGCACAATTTTAATATTAGTAGTATGCCATGTTTTATAAGAGTTTTTAAAATTCTTAAAAACTTAAAAATTGTTTTTGCTCTCTTGCTTCTAACGACAAGTGATTTTGTAAAACATAGAGCATTGTAAATTATGGCTGCAATAAATTAAATAATCTTAAGAAAGTAGCAATTTAAATTTACGACGTAGGTGATCCAGAATCAAAAACCCCAAGTACAAGAAATTCGATAACAGCAATCTTATAGGCGTATTACTCATTTCAGTTAATTTACTTACGGCGAATATCTACGACAATTTGAAACGACATTTTCTGATTGCGCAAAAATCATTCGTCATTTGTTTACCAATATAACGATATTACTTTAAACAATTGGGTGTTGAACCAGCCTACAAATATACATTATTGCTGAATGCGTTTGAATTGGTTGGTTCAATTACTCTGTCTTCAACCAATCGACTTCACCAATTTACTGTGATCTTCAGTAAAACTAATTATAAAGTAATTATAAAATATGGGTATTTATTTTTGTATTTATTTATACATGTGCAGGCTTGGTACTTTAAAACTAGACATCACTGTCTGATTGGCAAATAAAGTGCATAACGTCAGTAGTGCAGGATAGCACTATCATTACGTTTTCGTGCCCATAAACGTAGGCGCAGTGCTGGGTGGGATTGTTATACTTGGGCTCATTTTTGCGCCACCTGAAGTAGGTGGCTAGTTTGCCGGAGGCCAAGGATATAAACTCCCCCTGTTTGGCCAAGTCATTGACTCCCAGCCAGTAGTTCGCCTTTTTCAGTTGCGCCGCTATGGCGTTATACTCCTGTTCATTTTGGAAGGCGGCGAGGTGGCCGCCCATTTCAATACACATCTGCTCGGCGGTCCTCCAGTTCACCACTACATTGTGTTCAATGTAGAAGTACCTCGACCCTATCTTTTGGTATCTCTGCAGCACGAGTTTCCTCTCGATCTCGGATAGAGTCTTCTGAATGGCTGTTAGCTGGCTTTCCGTCCTCTTCTGTCCATCTTTCAACTGATTACCCAGGGCTGTCTGATTGCCTTCTATGTCCTTTAGTCTTTGCTCAAGATCCTGGGGGATGGCCTTCGTAATATTGTTCTTGAGGAATGCGTGCTGGGACTCTATTTGGATTTGTGTCGCCGTCAACTGGTCTTCTATCTGATCCAGTTTCGCCACAGTTTCATTGAGTTTTACTCCGCAGGTTCCCCAATCCTGTTGCTCTTTCGAAAGGTGATCGATTACCGGCTGCAGTGCGGATACACAGTATTCACTGCACTGGTTCGGAGGATCGGATAGTAGACACACGTAGCGCCTGCCATCCTGGGCTTCAATCAGAGCTCCGTAAGGATACAGCAAAACAAATGCGCACAGAATAAATTTCGCGGATCTAAGCATTGTGGACAACCACTGAGGTGGAAACCTGATAAAGAACTGATACTGAAATCATGGTCGGACTTTTTAAAGACCCGGCATTATGGTTGATAAATATATTTGATCTTCTTATTAATAGTCACAAGAAATTTGATGTGGTATAATTCGTTATCATTATTGGTAAAGCTTTGTCAATATGGTATAAAATAGTAATAAATTAGATATGTGTGTCTACCACGCTTAACTTAATGACATACTTTATTTCCGAAGTTAACGCTACAGTCGAGTTCATCGACTATCAGATGCACGTTACTAAGCTAGTGAGTTCTGGGATTGCGAGTGAAATATTTTAAAATTCTTTTGGCATATTCACAGAATCACACAGAATATTCACAGAAAACATTTTTCAAAAATTCTGGGTTCTGGGTGTTAGAGTAGGCGTGGAAATCTTTTGAAACATACTTCCGCTGCGTCTGCATCTAGAATCTTGGTCTAAACCGTATAGCTTTTATAGTTCCCGAGATCACAGCGTTCATACAGACGGACGGACACGGCCTGATAGTCTAGTAATCCCTATTAAGGATTTCCCTTAACTGTTTCATACCTTTCAACAGAGGAAGTATACCCTTTTATACTACGAGTAACGTCATTAATATGACTAAAAAATAATCTGCTTTTGATGTGAACAACTTTTTTGGAGTTTGCTTTGCATAAACTATACTTTTCTAGGAATATCTACATATGGCCATTGGAGGTTTCCAATTAAATTATCTGGTTAATTAAAGATTTTAGCTATGCCCTAGAGCTATATGGTATACATATATGGTATATTTTTAGATAATCGACAGCTGGCTGTGTCATAAGAAAGATATAAAAAATTATCATCAGCCGTTTGCTATCCGGAAATGATAAAGCTTTTTAATCTTGACACACCCTACTTTAGAATCCGCTCTTAAATTTGTTGTTTGATTGTTAGTTTTTGAATTACTTATAGGGTTTTTAATATAGAAATATATAAATTGATAATGTAATTGCTGCTTTTAAAAACATATATTGTTATTTTTCCGTTGGAATAGAATCTTTCAACATCGATTGATTTAATTATGCGAAGACTGATTAAAATATTTATTTACCCTGTTTTAATTTACTTTAAGTTGAAAAAATATATAAGCCATAAGTCGCCTAATTAGATAGTAAAAGATAATTCTTTTATAAAGTTGGAATAAACTAAATTGGAGTTGGAGTAAACTAAGGAATTTTTTTGCTGTTTAAGGCGCGGTCACACTACAACCGTCTCAAAGTCTGGCAACGCTGCACAACGCCAAAACAAATCAAATAATTTTTACCATGTACAACGTGGAATGCATTCCCATCAAGGATATAAAGCCAGGTCTGAAAAACATCAATGTTATCTTCATTGTCCTGGAAGTGGGCGTGGCCACCGTTACAAAGGAAAACCGCGAAGTGCGGAACTTCAAGGTGGGTCCATTGTTGCATTACTCGCATACAAACAACTGATACAGTGCAAAAAACGTTTTCTAGGTGGGCGACCCCACGGCCTGCATCAATGTCTCGATTTGGGACGAGCCGGGCAAACTGATAGCACCAGGCGATATAGTGAGACTGACAAAGGGCTACGCCTCCATCTGGAGGCATTGCTTGACCCTCTATTCCGGAAAGAACGGCGAGGTGTTCAAGATCGGCGAGTACTGCATGGTCTTCAACGAGAGCGTGAACATGAGTGAGCCGAAACGGGCGGAGCAGCAGGCGGTGCCCAATCCTGCTGCTCCTCCGGCGGGACTTCCGGCCGGTGGAGGTGCTCCTGGCTTGCCGGCCAAGGGTGGAGCCCCTGGCATTCAGCAGCCCGTGGTGGCCGCAGCACCAGGTGCTCCCGCCACCCAAAGCGCTGTGACCACTGCTCCTGCTACGGCACCAGCCATCGCGCCTCAAACGACAACGAAACCTGGCACTCGTGGCGGCCGTGGAGGTGGAGGACGAGGTGGTCTTAAAGGGGAACGGCGATAAAGGGTCTTGAGATCCGTGGAATAGGACCAGGAACTCAGCGAACAAGAGGATCTAGCTCTAACTGTAATGCTTAGCTTAATAAGACATGTTTACACATCCCAAAAGATCAACGCTGCTCGGACATGGATTTGGTATGTTATCTAGACAATTTGGGCTTTATATTTTACGTAATATGTCTGCATTTATGAGCATCAGATTTACCATTCAATTATATATGTATTTTAAATGGCAGTTGTATCTTTTAATAGTCAAATGTTCTAAAACACGTTCCCAAATGTTGGGACGTTCTATTCGAACCATTTAAGCATTTCATAGGTATTGGATAATAATACTATTTCAAGATAGCATTTCAAAGACAATTTAATTACCTTCCGTGCAGTATTTCTTCCTACCGAAAATATAATTTAATCTGGCCTAAATACATGTAATAAAGCTTTTAAAAGGCAGAAAGAACAGAAACTTAAAGAAAAGCACCTAAATGTTATGTTTAAAAAATGTATTTATATTTTATTTGGCAAAATCAAAGACACAAAAAAGGTTTCGAGAGCCATTGTCCAGCAAGTCTACAAGTATTGCATTGACTTTAGCCGAACTGGACGAATCCCCCCTCTTTAGGTGTAATTATGATGTGTGTTGAGTGTGAGTGTGCGTGGAATTTAGCTTAGGCTTAATATCCTCTGGCGTTGCGCTTAGACCTTCTTCTTCTTCTCGTAGTAGGCCTGCACGGCTTTCAGGAGATATCCAACTTCCTCGACGGTCTTGATCTGGTAGTTGGCATAGGTCTTCAGCGTGGGCAGCTCGGACACACGGAAGGTCTTGCCGATTCCGTGCAGCACCTTGATGGCATCCTCATCGGTGGTATCGTCGCCAACGTAGACGATCTTCAGGTTCTTGGCCCAGTCGGCGTCGAACTGCTTCTCCAGGATCATCTTGGCACCCTCACCTGCGAAAGTACGTAGATTTCAATTTTTTATAGAAGACTAAACTGTTATTTTTGCATAAATGCAACCTGTGGCCAAATAATGGTTTATTTCTTGTGGAAGCCATGTGAAATGTATACAAACAACTATGCACTGCTGGAAATCATCCAAAATCGCTCAATAAACAAGCGAGAACAATATTTTCAAATGTCTGAAATTCTTCTCGGCACACATCTTAGATCATATAAATCGCATGCAGCGCGAAAGAAACAGAACCGAATTCTTCCCCATCTTCTGTGAATTATTTTTAGGTGTCTACGTGGGCGGATCTTCTCTATTTTTCGTTTCGTAATTTGGTTTGGCCAAGTAAGTGAGTGTTTGAATAGATGAAATCGAATCATTTAGCTGCCCCCTCGGTGTGCAGTAAAAATCAGTACATTTGCATATCAATTTAGAGCATTAGAACTGAATATGAATGTACCTCATCTAATTATTTTAATTACTCAGCTTTCCTCTTCCGTTTCTAGCGCTTAACGCCACATTTTTGTTTAATTGGTGACGCAGTCTATTCACCGATTTTCCACCTCCTTCCCGACCTGCTGCAGTTTTCTCTTATTTTTCAGACGGCACCAACAATTCTCCTCTTTTGTATGCGCCCCTCGAAAATAATATTTTCCGAATTTCTGTTGGCTTTTACTGTTTGCAATCATTTTTTTCTGGCCCCTATAAATTTATTGCCTTTGGAGGCGTACACCATCATAATTAATTTTTGATTTTCACGATATATTCGCGTATGAAATATATCTGCTTAAATATGTTTCATGTATTTTGTCGCCACGGCTCATTGGCCTGAGCGACATTTCGGTTCGGAATGGGTTTCTAGTATTCTAGAGGACAGAGGTGGCAAGTGGCGTCCATAAATCTCCTCAAGGGGGGTACTAATTTCTGATACATATTTTTTCGAGAATTCTGAAAATATTTTTCGTTATTTGCTCGGATTAAAGTTGATCAATAATTGGGGATATGCTGAAATCCTGACAGTGATCCTAATTTAGGTTTTTTTTTGATATCTTGATAAGCGGATAAAAAATTCTGCATTAATAATATAGAGGCTTGCAATTTAACAAGCTAAACTAAGTTATTTCAATAACATTTACATCTATATGAAACTACAATTTTTCTTTTCAATACTATTTGCTAGTTCAAATGTGTAAATGGAATCCAGTCAGTTATTGCTATTGAGACATATTTGTATATCTTAAAAACAGGCTACTAAATGTGATTTACGACTTTAAAAATCTGTATGTATTTGTCAGACTTATATAAAACTTTATGTCTCTAAGAGCACGCATCGTTAGTGGAAAACGTCATCAAATTAAATTGGTTTCGCTTGACTTTGGCTTCATTCATCTTTAGAAAAGCTAAAATTACAAACACCCCCACCAAACCAAAAGTGTGTGTTTTCAATTGGAACAGAAAACTTTCCGCAAATATTGTGACTAGCGGCAAAATCAAGTGATGAACAATTCGAGAAACGAAAGCGAAATCTTGTGTCTATGAGAAATTACACAGATATTTTAATTTATCATAAGGAATCGGGCGAGTGACTATATGAATATATAGAAGACGACAAGTATATATAGTATTAGGCGCGCTTTTGACATCAGTTGGCTGCGGGATGTTTTGTCTACCGCCGCCTTCTGAATATATTTTTCTCAGACATTTTAAATTTGTGCGATGTTTGTGAGTGAACTTTTGAGCGGTGTGTGTGTGTTAAATTTTTCATAGAAAATATTTTTTTGTGAAAGACGCCCACGTTGGATTCCCATCGGGGTATAGAGAAAATAGAGAAATTTTAGCAATAATTAAATCATCGAAGCGTATAGTCAAAAATCGAATTGTTCGAGCAGGTGCCGAAGTGAGGAAAGCTGAAAGGAATGCCTTGGGGACAGCTTGCAAATGGATGGCAACAGTTGGCAAATTGTTTAACGATGACGGGTGTATTAATAGCCCCTTTGGAGCATCGGGAGCCCTTGGGTTCCCACTAACCTTTGTCCCAGTTCACGCGGGGCTTGCCCTCCAGGGCGTAGGGGGTCTCGATCAGCTGGAATCCATGGGCCTGGATCAAGCCCTTGGCCTCGGCGATCAGCTTGGCCTTCAACTTGTCGGTGACGCCCTTGTAGTGATAGGTCACGGAGATCTTCTTGTCCTCCACCCAGGCACCGGAGCACACGACCTGAGGAAGGTTGAAATGGTTTAGTAATGGTCTGGCTTAAGGGCCCAGCTCTTATCTCACTAATTTGCAGTTCATTTAACTTAACTACAACGTAATTCTTGTATGAATGTATCAAATAACTTCTAACTTCGATCTACATCGGGTTGTAAACATCATAAATAACTTTTCACGAACTTAGGCCACAAGGGTTTCTAAAAAACCCTTTTTTGAATTCTGGTTGGATTCCTTCTATAGTACACATTAAATTTTAATTTCAGTTTGACCGATGACGTACCTTTTCCTTGAGCTCAGAAACCAGCTTGTTGTGCTTCTCCAGTAATTCCTCGGGCATTTCGATCTTGAACTTCTTGCCGGAAGGATATTCGACCTCCAGACCATGGTTGCCGGCATAGGTCACATTGGGGAACTTCAGGTGGTTCTTGATCTCGCTCAGTTCGCGACCGGAGAAGACGACCATGAAGATTTTCTCGTTGGCAGCCAGTTTCTTGATGTTGATCTCCGTATCCTTGGGCATGACGGACAGCTCCTCGGTGAGAGGGGCCAGGGTGCCATCGTAATCCAGCAACAGGACCACCTGATCGGTTTCGGGGTTAATGAATCTGTCGAGGGAACAACGCTCTTTAGTTCCTTGAAGCTCCTGCGCAGCTGATCCTTGAAACTCACCCCTCGAGGGCCTTCACGTAGTCCTCCTCCTTCTTCAGCAGCGGTGCCTTCTTCTGCTCAGCCATTTTAATGTGTATCTCTGTTTCAGATTATTTTGTATCTAACGGATATTGCGCGCCGTGCTGGACGTTCCTCGACCGATTTAATACTAACGACCAGCTATCCCCAGCTGCCATATATCGCCTGCGATCTATAAGTATCCGCGATCCAATCTGTTCTCTTGCTTTTTTGGCCTCTCTCCAAATGGATGGTGGCAACTCTGGCCCCATACGTTGGCCAAGTAATTCCCACAATATTTATGAGGCATATGCGCATAAAAAAGCACATTCTATAATGGATCTTCGTCTGTATATGAGGCATTTATATATAATGAAAGACTACACACACGGGCCTTTATCTATGTAGCCGCCACTTTCGGTTTGAGTGAAGTATATAGTGTGTATACGTATTTTGATGATGTCTTTCATGCACCTTTGTTTGAGGTTGTTTGTCTTTTGGAAATGTTTCTTTTATATGACACACTTTGGGGTATCTAAGTTTATCAGACTTTCTTAGGATTATTCTAACAAGTTCGAACATTCTTCATTTATTTTCGACATATTTCCGCAACGGAAATCCCTGGATCAATGTTCAGTTCGCAAAACATTTCCATTCAATGATTTATTTATTTTCTTTTGATCTTCAAACGGAGAGTGAATGTTGTGCTTGCTTTAAGATTAATGAACAATTTTGTATCGGATTATCTTGAATACAACAAATATTTATTTGCCGCTGAATGCAGGTGTTGGTGAGTATGTAATTTTAATTTCAAGCCTCATGATTAATTATGTCACTTGTTACCCTTTTTCATTACTCCAGGGACAACTAATGAGTAGATTAAAAACAGGTATTTTATTCTAATTCCACTAACTAATCACATACATGAATGGTATATCCAATTCCAGTATTGCTTATGCAGAAACAGAATTTCAAATTGTAATAAATGTAAAAAATCAACAAATTACAGTTAAAACTTTTCAGCTTTTCTAAATTCGATTACATCTAGGAAACGTACACATTAGCTATCCATTTGAGAAGATCGGTCATCACAGCCTGGTTGGGCAATCGGAAATCCGCATAAGTCTGGATCTGGGCATCTGCCGAAATTCTAAAGGAGCGACCCAAGCCCCTGAGCACCTGAAATGTTTTATAAAATATATAAAGTCGAGGGTTTTCAAGCAAGTACCATTTCAACTCACTCTCATGGCATCTTCATCGGTGGTGTCATCGCCAGCGAAGACCACACTGACTTGCTGCGACCAATCTTCCCCGAATTTCTGCTTAAGAATATAGAGGGCAGCCTCTCCCTTGTTCCAATTTACTGGGGGCTTAGCTTCGATGGCTTCATGGGCCTGATTCGCGCAGAATCCAAACTTCTTGCAGATCTCCAGAGCCAGCTGCTTTTGCTGGTCCTTCAGCGCTACGGGCGTATCTCTGTAGTGATAGGTGAGTGATACCTTCTTATCCTCGACCCAAGCTCCGTTCCTCTCCACCTTTTCCTTGAGCTCCCTAACCATGTCTGTGTAGTTCTTCTGGATCTCTGTGGGCAGCTCGTAGTCGTGTCTGGAGCCATCGGGGTACTCGATTTCCAGTCCGTGATTTCCAGCATAGGTAATGCCATCGATGTTTACTTGTTTTTGCACATCTTTGAGCCCGCGACCCGAGATCACTGCGAGAAAAACTTTGGGATGCTTAGCTATCTTGTGCAGTATGGCCTCCAGTTCCACAGGCATTTTGGTATTCGCCGGATTAGCCGCAATTGGAGCCAGGGTGCCATCGTAATCCAGGAGTACGGCAACTGGGTATGCAGAATTCAGATATCTGAAAGAGTGAACGAGTGTGTGGGATTCGTGAATTAGCACTGTTGATTATTTAAAGGTCACCTAACTCTTTCTGTCATACGAGTATGAAAACGAAAAGAGAGTTTTGGTTTTAAATTAGTAACTTATAAAGGGAATTAGCCGGTGATGTGATGAAATGAAGCGAATTGCTTATCAGTAATTTGCTCGTTACATGACATGGACAAGGTCACACTTCCGTTGTTAGTTATCACATAAATCCTACTTACCCAGGTAAATTATGCTCAAAATCCTCCAGGTTGCCAATTACACGTGCCACTTGTTTCTCAGGCATGATCCCAGTTCTCTGATAACTCCTTGATGCGTTTGGAAGGAATGCGAATAAGAATTCACTGAAATAATTGTGTGAGCAGATTAGTTCCGCGTTCGAAATCGCCTTATCAGCGTGTTGATGTCTCAGTGCTGCAGTTTGAACTGGGAGATATTCTGGCTGAGACTCGTTTTTATAACCGTTTGATAGTTCTCACTCTCTGGAGATAAGAAACCCAAATCGATGGGGATTCTCCGCCACAGATTTTTCCTCTCAGCGTGTAATTATCACCCAAGTACAATCAGCTCGGAAGATCAAGTCACCTTAAGATTGCCGGCACTTGGAACTTCTCGAGTGGCTATCGAGACCTATCCCTGATGGATCTGCGAGGCGGTTTGACTTGCTGTTTCTCGGGCAGCTGCAGTTTTATAATGATCCGTAGGTGGTGATTTCCTCAAACATTGTCGCCGGGTTTTTGTGCTGTAGAACAAAGGCAGTACGCCACCCACCGTCCACCGATTCAGTGCATCATGCGTTGCCTTCGTGTGCGGTGCGTGCATTGCCTCCTCCTCCCCAGGTCGTAAAGTTCACATTCGAGGGCAATAAAACAGAAACCGGAATTCATAAATTCCACCCACTACCCAGTGACATCGACCCATCCCGCACTCATCCCCTTGCTCTGCTGAGACCCATCGTTAATTAGGAATGAGCATGCAAATCTGGTTATGTACTCGCGTTCGTCCTTTGCAAATCCCTTTGACGTGCCGATAAGCGTGTCCCGGCAGGAGGTAACCCAAGGACGACTCCTCCTCCTCCTCCCCTACCCCTATTCCCATACCCTGTGGTATCCCTCACCACGATGTCAACGCGATTTGGGGGACACAAATATTTGTTACATGCAGTGGAATTGATTAGGCGACAGCAGTGACTAAAAATAGGCACAGCATGGAAATGCGAGTGGGGAAATGTGGAAAATGGGAAAATCTAGCAGTCACTTGGTGCTAACAAGTCCAGGCCTCAGGCAGTATTTGCGGCATAGGCTTGAGGGGATTAAAGGACTTGCAACAGTTTTGTTAAGTATATTTTAAGCAAAATTTATTAAAAAAAAAAATATTTCAAAATCAGTGTATCCGTGAAATCAGCCTTGTCAGGTAGCTGAGATAATTCCTGGGTTAGTGTAACTTTTAGAGGGTTAAAGCCAAAGTGAATCACGCTGTCTGGGAAGCGCAGCATGCTCCAAAAGCATGCTCAGACAAACACCGATACCGTCCAAACCCAAAACAAATAGAGACCTGACCAGGCCAAACTGTTTACTCTCGATATTAGCACAGGCGAGACTCAATACAAAGAACCTAAAATAAATTTGAAATCATAGAAAAATGTTTCATTGGCAATATGGAACCTTTTTCTGTAACTCACAGACAATTACATTGTTCTAAGGATCTTAGATTCGAAAATACATTTATCTATGCTTTAGTACAATTCCTTGTATTGGTGGTTCACTGTTCAGTATGCGGATAGCCAGACAGACCAAATTCAAGAGGGTTCGAGAGCAGACAGCCCTCTCATATCAAACATAAACAAATCCGATGGAGTTGGAGCCCCTTAATGGAAACTTTCGCGCGGCACGAGCGCAGCTGTCCGATTAAATCGCATTGCTAATTTCGATTTAATTGGCAGACCACTAATTTTCGCTTGGTAAACAAGTGTGCGGGAAACCCCTTGCTTCTTTCGCCGATTCCCCCTTTAAAAGTGGGGACGCAACAAATTTGTTTAGTTTTCTCACTAACTTTTCCAAGGAATTGCACTTTTTGATCAGTCACAAGTCTAATTAGACTTTTTTCAACTGAAAAACTGTCAATTGGCTTTGATTCCAAGTTTCTGGTAAATATTTTGCAAGGTATAGAATTCATTTGTTTTTCGCCGTTTTCAAATTTTGTTTTGTTTGCCTAGAAAAGCTTTCGCAGAAGCTCTTCGATCAAGTTCGGTGAATCAGCTGAAAAGATGGGTAATATTTACGAGGTGGGGAGATATATGGGCCTACAAAAATAGATTTTTGAAAAAATGTTCGGAAGGGGAAGGAAAATGAATTAGCTAAAAGTAGGCACAGTGTGCTACTGCTTATAGAAGTGTAGTTAAAAAACTGAAATGTAAAATAAAAAACACTCCTTTTCTTTTCCTCATTAATATATCTTTAAAGTAGTACCTAAGGGTTAATTTTTCCAACATATTTACAAATTTAGTTTGCCAAAAATAGAACTCTTTAATGTCCAGGCATCGTAGCTATAAAATTAATTGGCTTGATTGCAATTAAACGTTACAATTAAATAATTAATTTTGGTTTGAAGCAGCAAGTACCACAAAAACACTGTTTTCTCTACATTTTTTGTTAAAATGGTTATTGTTAATAACTCCGTTTCTTTTAAATTTGCATAATTATGTGATTTTGACTGGAAACAACTGGTTTCCACACGGTTTCACAGTAAATATGGTTTTGATAAACACGAATTAACATAATCAGGATAACGTACGAGTATACCTCCTTTAAAGCTATTACCTGCCTAAGATAGTTGTAGGTAGAAATTGGCAGCGGTGTTGTTTTTCAGGCCTTTTCGTCCCTAACCCGTAAACAACAAGAATGCAAAGTGACAGGTAGGTTGGACGTGCGGATGGGGTTGAAAGGTCGTGGGGCAAGGGCTTAGGGTGGACACATAAATCAGCCGAAAGTCGGTGATGGGGGTCAAAGGGCGTGGGGGTTGGAGCCCAGGGCAGTCGAGCGTATGGCGTTTACGTTGGTCAAAATTAATGTTCAGCTCGGCTGCCTAAATTCAACCTGTTGATTCTGCCAGAAGCAATTAGTGGACGTGCCACGAGGCGTTTCGATGTCAACAGGTTGCCACATCTACCTCCCTGCAGATGCACACCGATAAGCAGGGGGCTTGGGACTCTATGTACTGGCTGGGGGGCTGATGTGTATCTAAGGATGGAGGCGCCTCCGTGTGGCAAGGCCTGTAAACATTTTCAGCACCGCGCGTGTGTGGGCGTTGTGCTTGGTTTGGCCTGGCATTAGGGCATGGTCTATTGCCAATTACATGGAAAATGTATGCTTACTTGCCTGCTTTTTTGTGTCTCTGTGTGTCGTTGTAATGTTAAGTGAAGGTCAGCGGGCCAGAAAACAAAATTCAATTGCCCCCCGTGGTGGGAGAATGTTTGCAGTGGGAGTGTGGCAACAGGATAAGGCCTCCTTGTGGGTCAAGTTGCCATATATTATTTTATTTGCATTTAGATACTGGACTGCATACGTACATAATGTGACTGCACCAAACCGATGCCTCATAACGTAGTTAATTAAACATTTGTTCAGTACATTTAAAAAGGTTGCAACCTAAAATCCACTTTATAGTAGTTTTCTCCGCTGCCGATCGCTTCCTTCATTATCGCCTGCAGCTGGCTTCCCAGGACTGCCTGATTGCCTTCAATCCTGTCCAGTCTTTCGGCGAGCTCCTCTATTACAGTGTGCGTCGTATTTGACAAATGGAAGATAAGCTCTTTCGCCGCCAACTCAATGTGCTGCAGTTTGGCTTCCGTTTCGCCTAGTTTTCCATGGCAGCTGCCCCAATCCTCCTGCTCCTTCCTAAGGTGATCGATAACTGGCTGCAGTGCGGACACACAGAAGGCGCTGCACTGACTCGGAGGATCGGATAAAGGACATGCATTACTCAGGGCTCCAGCTAGGCATCCAAGGAGATCCAGGACTATAAGTGCGCACAAAGAGATTCTTATGGACTTGAACATGGCGGACAACCACTTGGGTTGAACCTTTTGAAAAGACTGCTACTGAAATAGTTGTAGAAGTAGATTTCTATAGCCCTGTAATAGCGTTGACTAACATGTTTGATCTTCATATATCTATTTTTCCGAGAAACTTGATATGAAAAATGATTGCTATCTTTATTTGAAGCACTTAGTCCATATGCACATAAATTAAGTGGGTTTCCCCTGATTTCGAGTACTCTAAATGGCGTTGCCGGAATGCAAAATGCACTGCAGAGATTCCGAGGAGTTTTGAAGGATATTAGCTATCTTTGAAGGTTAGGTGCAAACAATGCACACAACATATGTCAAATTTACAATATGATATGATAAAAATAGACCAAGACAAAAATACCAAGGGTTCGATAGATGTCAATGCAGTCTGGATCTCGACGGTTCGGTGATTGATTATAAGTAAATTGAGGGAAGACTGCAAAGCTAAATAAGTAAACAATTGACATGCGTAAGATACAAATACATTATTGCTAAAGAAAAGGCAGGTATAATTGAAACACGACTGATGAAAAATACGACTTACAGCTTACGGAACCATCCGGTTGGCAAATAATTGCATCTTTGACACATCCGGCTTGAAATTGGCTCTTTGAAACTTCCGGCGGAAGTGGAAAATGCTACCAAAGCAAGAGCAAAGAAAATTGAACTAATTTTTGAGTGCTTATTTCTGAGATATTTATTAAAATGAGCCATTACCCGCAAGTTTTTATATTTACTTGTAATGTATTAGCGATAGCAACATGGCTGCTGGCAACATATGTGTCTGGCGTCCTAACAAGTTGCTGGCAACATTATTGTGTTTGGCGCGCACTTCAAGATTCATTCACGCAACGGCAGCGCAGCAGATGCGACGCGTCGCGGTCGCAGAGGAAAAGCTTCGGTCGAGGATTGTGCCGCATATTGGGACACCGGTTTGGAGTCGCGTGGCAGTGGGTGGATGTGGAAATTGGATGTAGTGGACCTCCTTTGCGAACTCTTTTGCATTTTACATTGGTCCACATATCGCCAGCACTTTGACTACACCGCTGCGGAGGTGGCAAGGCGGCGGAAAAGTGGGTGGTGTTTTATTATTGCCTTACAATGGCAACGCATCGGTCGGCACTGCGTCGCAATAAAGCCACTTCGATGGCATCGGCGGCGGCACTAGTTGGATATATAAAAGCATAATTGCTGCGAGCCAGCGGCTTAATAGCAATCAGGAAGCTGAAGTGTCAACAACTCGCCAAAATACTAAATCAAATAATAACAATAATTGCCAAAATAACATATTACGATTGTATAAACAATTGCATGATAACGAATAAACGGATATAAATTATATAATAATTAAATAAAATAAAATAATAAATAAATTAAATAATAAAGTAGACAAAAAAATAGAAACTATTTCTAAAACATTAAAAAAATCCTCGAGGGAAGAACAGATATATCAACCATTTTTTGCCAAATATACATGTTTACAATACAAGGACTTAAACTTTTTTTGAGTAATTAATAATAATTTTAACAAATTTTTGTAATCAGTGTGTATACTCAATGTTCCTAAACACAAAATAAATATATACAATTTTAAAGCAGTGCGTCTCGTGAAACACATTCGAATACAACATGAAAATCTAGCACAACAAAACAACACAGTTTTGAGGAAAACAAAACTTGTTTCGCCCAACGGTGCGTATACTTAATTTGTGTTACAACTAAATAAAATGCCAAATTTATAGCAATCAAAACGATGAAAACTTTGTTTCAAAAATGTTCCATACAGAGCATTTCAAAAATACACAATAAATTAAATCAAAAGTAAAATTGTTCAGCTTGTTTCTAGTTCCTTTTCAATGTGTAAACATTTTTGTCTGGCGCAGGGGCGTAGAAAAGGGCGTTTAACAAAATTCTAGCATTAATCAAAAAACTATAATCAAGTGATTTTTTTTTAACATGTTATTGCTTATTTGAAATCCCCTTTTGTTCCGCCAATGCTCGATTTGATTTGCTGCTCCAGTCGACCTTGACTTGAGACTCGGAATGGACGATAACTTTTCACCTGATGGCTTTCTGCACATATATTTCTCGATTCTCTTGATTTGTAAATCATTTTAATTGGCTTTGATTGCTGCTACTTCCGCCAAAAAAGAGTCTTGTGCAAAACTGTTTGACTTTGAAATGGTTTCAGAAATAAAGCAAATTGCGGTGCGCCTCTCCATCTTGCCATGTCTGTTTTTGATTTGCTTGTTTGATATGTTTTAAATTTGGCGGCAAGGTCGCCAGCTTGTCTGTGCAAAAGTGAAATGCAAATTCTATTCTATTCGACCGTCGACCATGCGTTATCTGAAATCTCATTTGGGCGTCGGTTTAGGAAAAGGTGTTTACGACGCAGCAAGATTTATTATATCAACAAAACATAATCAGGGGTCTTAGCACCTAGCCCCGCGAACTGCCACACCTCCCGCCCTCACGAAGTGACTAGTTAATAGCGCCCGATATCGGCCTGCTCCTCACTTTGTGGCGCGGGGCATAAAGCCACAAACAAAAGCGTTTTATTGCCAGAAGACCGCAGACTCGAGCAGAGACAGTAGCAAACGATGGCAAACGCCATAGCCGCAAAATAATATAATCGGGGAATTATTAGTTAGTGGAACGAGGTATCAGATACCCTCTGACAATTATAATCTGTTTCCAGTGCAGAAGTTATGGGTGTACTATTTTTTGGAAGGTAAATGTTTTCCCGTTGAGTATTTGAAATCGTTTCTGAAGCCATTGGTTTTTTCATAAAGTTTCTGAGAGGTTACCGTGTGTACTTCCACTAGCGTTACCAAACCATTCCCCACTCGAATAGCGCCATCTACATCTAGGGTATCGAATGTAATTCATCGTTCCGAACAACTGCCACAATGAGTGGGTACGACAAGTGCATGGGAATTTTATGAGGATGGGGATCATAAAGAGCAGAAAGCTGGAATCAAGTTAAGGGCTGGGTGGCTGCTGCTGGGGGATGGAAGATGGGAGGTGGGGGATGGGGGATGGGGGATGGGGGATATGGGATGGGTTATAACATGTTATGGGGCTCCCTGAGTTATTGATATTTTGCATCTCAGCCTACGACAAGTGGCAAATGTGGCCAGGAATGTCTGAGACTAAAGAGACTTTTTCAATTTGTGGGTTCGTCGTTCGTCCTCATAAATTCCATTGATATTTATGAGGAAACGCAATTTATATTGGAATGGAAATAAGCAGATAAAGGCATGTCATACGTGCTGTACTGGGTGATGTGTTACTTTAATGGGTCAACTTTAACTTAGATTTAGGCCCCACTATTAGTAAGAGCAATTATTTCCTGAAAATGTTTGGTTTGCTCATTAAATTGCGATTAAAGTTTTAACTCTTTCGAAACTCGTCCCGACTTTACCACCATCTCATATATCAAACGCCCTTAAACAGTTTAGTATTTGCCCTTCATCCCATTTCCCTGTAATCCTTCACCCTTTTGAGCTTGTTGATTTGCCCCTTTTTCCTGGTAAAGGCGAACCATGTCTATGTTTATTTAAGTGGTGCTTAGTCAACAAAAAATCAGACGTGTGAGCCTAACTAAACTAACATTTATGACGCTTGACTTGTATTTTATTAGGCTGAATTGCTAATGTCTGCTACTATGGCACCCAGCAAACGAGAGAAATGAATTTCTTTTCGTAGATTTATTTTTATATATATTTAAGCTCCACTCAAGGTGAATACTTATGTGGGGAAGTTGACCGCCAACTTCGACAATTTTACGCATTTTCAATTTCAGGGCCGCGCAGCAAAACAAACTGAGTGAGTGAGAGAAAAACCAATGGCAACATTCGCTGTTATTGCACAGTGAAAAAAAAACTCTACAACAGAGTTACAACAAGTTGAAATTGATTAAGAAGTAATTATGAGTTCAAACACGTCTGCTGTTCCTTATTTTCCATTAAATATCATTGAAATGTCTCTAAAAAATACACTTTAAGTCAAAAGTTGTTCTAAGAAATGTGTATTTATCTGTTTAAATTATTATTTTGAAAAGACGTATCTTAGTTATCAGTTAAAATGCGTCTGCTGTTCCTTATTTTCCTATAAATATCATTGAAATGTCTCTAAAAAATACACTTTAAGTCAAAAGTTGTTTTAAGAAATGTGTATTTAGCTGTTTGAATTATTGTTATTATTATGAAAAGTCTTACTTAGTCAACCATTTTTCTCCGTGTGCACATTTCGTTAATGTTAACAGGCTGCTCGATACCGAAATGAAATGACAAGCAAAAAACACGGAAAAAGTGGTTTGGGCAGGGGCATCGCGACTGCCTGGAGTGGGCAGCTCCAGTCATCAACAATGGGTCGGATGGCAAGTGGCGCACTTCCCATGACCTTAGCCTTAGCCGAAAGTGGAATGGTGGTTGGCACTATGACAACCCACTCGCCGCTCGTCACCAACCCCATCCCCCGTCCAGCCATTCCGTTGCCACCTTATTTCCTGAACAACCACTTGTTGGCTGTACAGCTTGATTTGTTTTCCGTGGAGCTCCAAGCGGCATAATCATCCTCATCAACCAAATCAACATCAGCTTTCGGGTGATGACAACTACAACTGCCCAACACGTGCCGCAAAAATGAAAATTGGTTCCAAGGGCGGCCAATGGGTGTTGAAAATCGTGTGGAAAACTATAGAGCAATGTAACACAATCTTCGTCTGGCCTGGAATTATGTATTTTAGGTGCGCAATAGCGAGCGGCATGTGTTAGTAAACATAACAACCAGGTCAACAGCCCCAGCCCGCTGGGCCCCAACTCATTTCATCTCTCTGCTGGTGGGGTTTTCATTTTCAATGCCTTTGCCAAGGTCCGGTTCGGTCGACGTCCTGGCCATTCAGACATGCGAGTCCTGTCATTCCCTGACATATGGGGTACTCGTCGGTTTTCCGGGCGATCACAGATAAGCTGCCACATATATTGTTCTTTTGTTGCCTGAACACATAACTACGCAAGTGGCAGATAGATTTGGCAGCTCAGAGATACATCACACTATCCAAACGATGTCTCTTTTGTTGGAAAATTAATTAAGCCGAAGAGTCTTTTTTTTACCATTTTATGTATCTAACTTTATGTATATTACTTTAACTATTTATTATTTATATCTAAAAAACAAAATCTATAAAATAAGGTGAAACCGCGTTTTAAATATAGAGAGTCATCATATATTTTGACATTTCCTTACGAATAAAAGAAGACGTAGTCCAGACTGTTTTCGTATATTAAATTTAAACCTCTTATGAATTAATTTAAACATGTAATTACAGACAACTTCTGACGGAGACCGTGCACTTAATTATCCGACCAATAACAAGTACTTGTTGCTTGTTCGACTGCAACCACTCCTTATTTATTTCGATCAGAGTCCAGCTTTTCTAAACATTGCTTTGGAAACCAATCGTTTCCATTTGATTTGATTTATTGGGCTCCGATGATGTAACAAAGCGAATACCCTTAAGCATTTCTTGTGGAAATTCTCGGAAACTCATTAGAGTTCGCTTGGGCAGCTGGCTTACACCTTGCTCCAGTGCATCCCCCTTGCCTTACTCACCCACAACTCATCTCCTGTTCAAGGACCTCATCAGCGTCCCTTCCAGTTTCGGGGATTTTGTGCGCAATAAAAAGTGAATAGAGTGTGGTGTAATAATACGAATTCTTGATTGCCATCGTATACTTTCGGGCGTGTGAAAACCAAAACATGACGGCGGGAGACAGCCTTTTGAGTGAACTTCACCGGAAATGTATAATTAAATACAAATTAGCAGGAAAACAGGAAAAGTTTCATTCTGCTGGGGCTTAAAACCGTCTGGCTACAGACAAAACTTACCGCATCGGCTTACATCTCGACCAAAAACCACTTGATGCTGGGTATTACGCATACGCCATGATGCCGATGTTGTTCGTGGTGCGCCATCTGGCTGAGGGAATGGTAGACTCAGCTTGAGCCAGGAAGGCAGGAAAGCGGGAAAACGCTTCATTAAGCACGCACCGTAGAGTGTTTGAGTTTTAAATCCAACTAATTAAAATCTACGCAGCACATCTTGCAGCGGGTAAAACTCAGCAATGGTGTGGGTTGGTTTTTCGATGAGGTGGGTAAGCTGTACTTAGTTTGGCCATCATCCTGGCTGTGCCGTCGAGCGCATTTGTTTCACTTTGTCTAGGAATGTGGTTCAATTTACCTACAATACCTTGATTCAAAACTTGTGCCATTGCACTTTAAACGAAAATGCCTTTGAATTGCAATTAAACTGGCAGCATTAAGAGCAATCGCAAGTAAAGGTTGAACAGTAGCTCGCTATTCTTCAAAGCTTGAAGTTCTCCGAACTCATTTCATTCATTTGTGCTTGATGTATTAAGTGTTATGTAAATTGATTAACTAACACTCAGTATTTTTACAAATTACATCTATCCCTAACCAGGCTATGTTTAATGATATAAGATAGCTAATCTAGCATTCATATGAAAGGCGTTCCTTTTTAATCAGCACCTATTTATCTGCAGCAATTCATTAACGCTCCATGAAATATTCCCCTAAATAACACATATGCTCGCACGTGTCGTTGAACTGAGTCAGGAACTTTTCTACGTACGAGTTTATGGCCACAATAGAAGGACACATTGATATCCGGAACTGAAGGATACGAAATGAACCAGACACATTCCGATTGAGTCAGGAGATAATTGATATTTGATTGTCGTCACTTGTTGCGCGTCCTTCGGCAAATGTTTTTATTTTGCTCGTTGTGCCATATTTCGATATCCTTTGACATCCTGCGCTAATCGGGTGACGGGCGTGTCCTTTTCATTTATAAAAATGACCATGACAATGCCCAAGGACATGGCGGTCTCCTGCTTTTCCCCATTTCGTCTGTGTTTCCGACTGCTTCTGGAGGACAACGCAGAAAGTGTCCAATAAATGTTTCATAGTTGTCGGTAGTCTGACATTGTTGACCTTATCAAAAGCACAAACACCCCAACAGCCCAACACCCACATGCCCACATGCCCACCCACACATGTAGGAGTATGTGTTAGTCCATGGGTGGCCATAAAAAACACACAAGTCGAGCATCTTTTGTTTAGTGCTCCTGCTGGGTTTTGAAAATGCGGCACTTTGCAAAACCTTTGGATACTTCTAGTAGCAACACTAGTTTGGGCACGGCACAGACTCAAAGGATATAAACATTTGTTGTTCAGCTTACTCGCACTTTTTCAGAGTGTTTAAATATAATCGTGAAAGGTATTTTAACAAAGCCCATCCTAGCGATGTAAAAAAAGAAGGTAAAACATTTCTATGTCACATTGGACACATTCTTTTAATTCAAACGAAAATAGTTCATAGTCCCCCTATCAGAAATAATTTTAATGTATTTTTTTCTCATTGGAGCCAATTTATTCTGCTATGTTGTTATTTTTTAAGTTTTTTAGTGAACAGAAAACGGGCTGTCTGTTTGTGGGTTTGTGCGATGCAGCTATGCAATTTTGCTGGAAATTGCTGGCCGAAATTAGAAAACGACGTGGAACAGTCCCATTCCTAACTGTCTGGGCATTTTGATGTGGGTAGGGAAAACTAGACCTAGCCACAAAAGCAAAAAGAATCCGGGGTAACAAAGGTCGTGTCACTCATTCCTAACACACAGGCCCAGTCCAAAAACAAGAGATTCCTATACCCTGGGACGGATTTTTACAAGGAAACGTTGTTTTCCTAAACCTTGGTTTAATTATATCCGTTACTCGTAGAGTAAAAGGGTATACTAGATTCGTTGAAAAGTATATATAATATAAGTATAAGTAATTATTAGCACAAGTATTATTAGTATAAGTAAAAAGTATAAGCGAACTAGGTGATTCCTATTAGAGTATGTGTAAGTCCTACTAGAGAGCTCATTTCTCAGTTACTAAGGATTTATATTGTATTTCCAGACAATTGCTCCTGGTATCTGCCATGAATGCCACCTCGCCAAAGTCATCGCTGGTCAAGTTGGGTCTGCATACCAATAAACAAAAGACCCTGAAGGTTATGGTCCTGGGCCAAAGTGGTGTGGGAAAAACGGGTGAGTTGTCCGCTCAGCTCCCAGAAAGGGGAACCCGAACTGAAGGGACTCTCCCATTTAGCCATGGTGGTGCGTTTTATTACCCGACGCTTCATTGGCGAGTATGATCCTAACCTGGAGAAGATTTACACCTGCCAAACCACGCTGGACAAGGAGCAGATTCAGTTTGACATTCTGGACGCCACCGGCCAGCTGCAAGTGGGTTTTAAACTGGATTTTCAATTTTGCAAGACATTAAAGACATGATGTTGTAGGAACTAGATGGAGTTAGTCTGGAGTCCAACATCCGCTGGGCCGACGCATTTATACTTATGTACTCGATCACAGACAAGTGTTCCTTCGACGAGTGCAGTCGCCTAAAGTTCCTCATCAATTACAATAAGCGGAGACGCAAGTTGGGCTCGGCCAGTAAAGTGAGTAAACCACCTCATTTGGAACCCTCCATGGGAAACAGATTTACATGCCGTATTTCCCAGGAATACGCACTGGATATTCCTGTCATATTGGTGGGCAACAAGACAGATCAGCCGGGCGATCGAATGGTCAGCTTGGAGGAGGGTCAGCGCCGATTCAGGGAGCTATCCTGCGCCTGTTTCCATGAGATTTCCGTCAGAGAGAGCGTGGATCAAGTAAGAAGAAATATATTCAAGTACAAAAGTATTTAGAAGCTGCCAAATTACACAGTAAAAAATCATAAACTTACATACATATGTAGTTCCACAAACGAAAAGATTCCCTTGTTCATACATTGTAATTCAAAATTTGAATTTTGATTCAGTCAAAATAACTTTTGACTGATAAATGAATTTGGCAGTTGCCATCACATGGCCCCTCAGCAATGTACAATTTGTTTATTCACCCATCCCAACCCCAACCAGGTGCAGAATGTTTTTCGCGATGTGTTCCGCTTCTGGCGAGTCTTCAGCAAATTCCCCAAGCTCAAGCGCTCCACCAGCGATGTGGCCAACACGGATGGAATCCTCACGCCAGATTTGGGATCCTGTTCCTTCTACGATGCCTCGTCCCTGGGCGTGGGTAGACATTCCTTTCTGGTCATCGGCAGCGCCTGTTTGGAGGAGAGCAACGGCGACCACACGGAGTCCACGGATGAGATTGCGAGTAGCAGTTTGAGCAGCTCGCGCAGCGACATCGACGCCCCCTTCCGGAGTAGAGCCTCGACGGACGGAACACTGTTGTCCCGACCCCGGAGATGGCGCTATCCGCCGCCGGGATGCCTACTGCCGCACACGAATCGCGTGGAGCGGCGGATGAGCATTTCCACCAGGGGCAGCAACGCCAGCTACTAGAGGGGAGTTTTACGCGGGTTGGGTCGAGCTTAGTTAGTCAAAATACAAACATGGATAGTCAAAGCGACAAATATGGATATATAGCTAGGTGTTATCGTACTGGAAAACAATAAATCTTTTCCTGGAGGAAAAACTATTTAACATGACCAATTTCATTGCATAAATTTCCTTTCTAACTAATTATTTTATTCAACGTGCTTCAAATGCAAGCAATTGGCTGCATCGGCATACACATATATTTGGTCAAATACAATTAAATAACTTAACAAGGAAGAAAACAGGAAGCTAGTCATCGTCGATTTTAAGCAGATACTCCTCGGCCCGCAAGGCCAGTTCTCGGATATTCCTCAGACATCCAGCGGCGGCCAACTGGAGCTCCTTGTTAGTGGACCCAATGCACTCCAGCAGGAAGGGCACAACTCCACTCTGCAGCAAGATAAAAGGGTTCAGATTGGGGGCTAAATCTGATTAGGGCGAAGAAACTGACCTGGTGCATGGTAATGCAGTTCTGCGGATCCATCGATAGCTTCTCCAGCGCCATGGCCGTGCTGCGGTGCACCAAGGGATTGTCGCTGGTCATGTAGGTGACAATCGGAGTCACAGTGCGCAGGCGTCCCAGCTCCTCCGTGTTATTACCGAAGCAGGCACAGGCGGCGACGGCAGCTGCCAAATTCATGCGAAGGAGGTCGTCGGTGGTCTGGACGAGATCGGCCAGCTTGTAGATCACCTTCAGGTCGGTTAGGATGGCTAGATTGGTTTGATCCTGGGCAATCGTGGCAATGGCAGCACAGACGGCGGATAACACCATGATGTCCTTGGACTTCAGCAGACCCACCACCAGTTCCATGGCGCCAACCAAGCTCCGGACCAATTCAGCGGAATCGTTGGCATTTCGAACACAGGGACATATGGCGTAAGCCGCATGGGCCTGAACCCTGGCGGTGGGGTTCTTCAACAGCGACCATATCAGCCTGACCGCGTCCAGATCCTCCAGGATCCTCATGCTCTCTGGATCCTCGGCACACTCCTTCAAGCCCTTGGCCAGATTTTCGAGCAGAGGTGCGTGGGAGCTGTTAAGTAGGGAGACCATTGCTGGTAGTCCTCCAGCTTGACGCAAGTACTCCCTGTTGCTTTGAAACCTCACACATTCAGACAACGCGCCGGTCACATTCGTCAGGACCTCGTCACACTCATCATTTAGCAAGGCCACCAGGTGGTTGACCGTCCTCAGTTGATCCAGTACCTTGACATTCGCATCGGTTACGGCACACATCCAAATCGCTCCGGTGGCGCCTCTCAATAGGGGCTTGTTGTCCCTCACGTTCTTGTCCTTTATGATGGTGACCAAGGGCTCCAGGCCCCCAGCCTCCCTCACCAACTCCCTGGTGCTGCCGTCGAAGGCGCACTTGTAGATCGCTGTACTGCCCTCCATCTTGAGCTCGGTATTTTCAGAACTCAAATGGGTCACAATGTCGGGAATCATGCCTTCCGTGGTGATGGCCAGTTGGAACTTGGGCTCCGAGGAGCACTTTCGAACGGTGCCCATTATGGGTATGACCACGTCGATGTGGCAGGACTTAAGAAGCTGAGCCATCAAGGGAACGATTCCGCTCTTGCGCATCTGCTCCATGTTGTGCTTGGAATCGGCCAAGCTGAAAAGGGCTCGGGCTCCAGCGCGAGTCATGTCCAGAGATTCCAGGTCATCTGCACTCAGTTGGTCACGCGGCGTCTTTAAAATGCTGATTTAAATGAAGGGTATGTTCAGTTTAAGTTTTATTTAACCATCATGCATTGCACACCCACCTCAACTTGATGTCGATGAGATCCACCAGCTTGGGGATGCCGCCGCAGGTGCGCACATACTTCCTGGCCAGTCGCACCTTGCACACGTTGGCCAGTGTTTCGGCGGCCATGGTCTTCAGGTCCTTCATGGAGGAGTTGAGGATGTCCACGATGAGCGGAATGCCATCCAAGTCCACGATGGTCTTCCTAATGTCGATGTTCAGTGTGATATCCGAGAGAACTGTGAGGGCGCCCAAACAGCACTTGGTGTCGCTGCACTCCAGGATGTTCACCAGGACATCGAGGCCGCCGATGTCCGAGATGGCGAACTGGTTGATCTGGGTGCTCAGATCGTAGTCCTTCAAGCAGCACAACGATACTATAGTGGCTGTCTGATTGCCCGCCTTGATGTACTTCACCAGTTTCTGGATATTATAATAGTCGGCCGGAATTTCAGCGGCTCGAGCCACTTCCTTCCAGCGTTCCTCCTCGTCCGTGGACGACTCCACCTCCGTGGTGTCCGAGTCCTCGGCTGCAGCCTGGCGCCTATCCTTGGAGAATCTATTGGGACAGGATCCGCACTGCTCCTTGGGCTTCCGGCTCCGATTGTGGGACGTTCCGCTGCTGTTGGCAATCATTTCGCGATGGAATACTTACGGATTTGAGTCGAACTCGGAAATATCTGTCGGTATGCCAGCTTCTTCGGTTTTGTATCGGAATTCGTTGTGTTTTTGTGTGGGAGAACTTTTTTGGGCCAGTCAATTGATTTAATACGACGTGTTGCTAAGGTAACTGAGATAATTTCGAAAATAGCGGGCTAAGGCAAAGGTGTCTTTAGCTGCAAAATTTGAATTATATTTTTTTTTAATTAAAATAGTACAGTTTAAAAGATTAAAGACTTTTAAATCTTATGATTTCTTTTAATTCGCTTGGCTTTGGTTGAATTCGCTTTGCGGTTAACATTAACCGCTTAGCGAATACATCGACCTGTCCGAGCGCAGACAACAACCTTTCTTAGTACGGACGCAGCCGCGAAACTTACCCGTTACCCGTTACCAAGACTATCGATGGCCTCGCAGGAAATCGAATTCAGTTCCATCACCAGCTTGTGTTGTTTGTTTTTTATTTTCAATTAAAATCCGCGATCATACGCAGCAGCAGCAGCAGCTGCATTGTTTGTTTACCAGCCGTCGTAACACCAGCCAACTGAATTTCGTCCGCGGAGATGGGAAACGCGAGTGGCAAGCGGGAGACGGATAGTCTCTACAACTCGGAGGAGCTCCGCATGCTGGAGTCCGCCTACAAAAACGCCTCTGGCGGAGCACTCGAGAAGTTGACGCAAGACAGATTGGTGGTAAGTCCAGTAAATCCAGTTACTGTGCCACGTGTGCGAGTGCGAGTGCGAAAATCAATGCAACTGCATTCTGGCTTCTGCAGTTGCGGAAGGGTCAGGGTCGCAAGTTCAAGGACGCGCCGAGTGAACTTTCCGCGAAAAGAGAAATCGGGACTTTCGAGTGCAGGACAAATGCCCGTCCATCTACCTGCTGCGATTGCTATCCTGTACGAAGCAGGGTATATCCTTTGGGGCATTGATTGGGTTTTCTCAAACTTCTTTTATGAGGATTAAACATGAACGAAAGTCTTGATATTGGGTTCCGAAAAACAAACCTAGTTATATAAGCAAGTTACAACTTTACCCGATTTTTTCATACAAGAGTTTAATATTTTTAGACCCCATTTTAATGCAGTTGTTTTCGAGTTTACAGGAAGTTCGAACGGTTAAACGTTAGAAATGTAATTGTTCAGATACTGTTCTTCAATTATTATTTTTAAACTGGGTTCTTTCTATTTCGTCGAAAAAATAAACAAGTAATATGACTTATCTACTTAACTAGATCCATCATGATTAAATAAACACAAAGCTGTTCAAAATTCTAACCCTTTGTTTAAACCTATCTGATCACACACAATTTGTGTTATAATTTTTCCGATGCGGGTTCAAGGCCCCAGATTTCGGTTTTATTTATATCTCAGCACAGATGACGGAAATGCAACCACTCAAAAATGTTTGTTTGTAACCAGATGAGGATGCCTCATAATATTTCCATCTATTTATAGCTCGTGTTTGATTATCCCTGCACTCCCCAGGGTATACCGAAGTTCGATATCTTTACCTCGCGCGTTATCAGTTTCGAATTGATAATTCCGGGGCCAGTGCGAACGTGTCCATAATTTGTCTAATTTGTTTGCTGCCGCACTTCGTTGTTTGTCTTTTGCTTTGTTGAATTTGCTTGCTAACGAATTAGTCGTGATTTCAATGACTGGGGTCGTCAATTAGGGCCAGCCCAATTGAATTAAAAATAAACCACATGCTTAACCCGTTGCAGCACAGATGTGAAAATGGATTTCAGTATGAGGAAACTATGAGACTTGCATTCATTTAGACCAATTTAAGCGGAAATTCTCTGAATGGAGCCTTTACATATATTTTAGTTTTATTTGTTTTCATAGAACTTGAAAGAAGACTTTGGTTTGAATCGAACATAATTATGTTTCTGTGTACGGCCCTCAATGGGTTAATCTGTGTCAGCGCTTCCCAGACCTTCGCTCCCTGCAAGAATTTGCTGACAGCAGCGGGAAAATTATGTTTACGTATCCGGTGCGCATTTTGTTTATGCACATACAATATATTTGTTGTGTTCTTTCGAAAACAGGAAACTTGGTCGCAAACCATCGAAAGATCCCTGGCCGAGAGTACGGCTCAGTATCTGTTTATGCCCACGAAGCCAGGTCAGCAATGCGTCAACCTTCAGCTGAAGAGATTCGGGGAGCCCTACTACATCATGGAACGCGGAACTATTGACCAGAAAATGCAAATGCTATTGGGCTCGATGGAGAGAACTGGAAATGACACCTTCAACAGCAAGCAATTGGAGCAGGTGAGAGTCTATAAATAATCAAGCATACATCACCACATAGCGCTGAAATAATATTTATGACTTTTGTCAGCTGAGCCACATTAAGATTCTTACCATGTTTGTTATTGAATTAGGTTTAGAATCAAATTTGTGTTTATTCTAAATGAGCGTAAACACATTGCTGAAAGCTAGATTTGCACGTTTATTTTTTTAGCTGTCATATGAACAATCTGTTAATTTAATTCTCTCGCAAATTTGCCCGCAAATTAATCAATTTAATTATCCCCCAGTATATCTACTCGGTGATCAAGAGCTACGTGCACTTGGAGAGCACAGCGAAAAACTCCGGCATCAAGGAGTGGCATGATCAGGGCTTCAACACCACGGAGAGGTCCGCTGCCACCTTTGCCAAGGGATTGATGAGAAATCTGGGCAAGGAGCTGGAGCACACTATGCCGAATGAAGCCCTGGAACGCTGGTTGCACGTCACTCCGCAGTTTCTGCAGATTTGGCGCGAGGTCTTCAGCCAGCTGTATTGTCGCCATGGTGGCAGCAAACGCAACATAATCAAGGAAATGGAAATTCCAATTCTGCCAGCATTGTGTGGTAGGAAAAACAATCATTTTTAAAGGGAAACCCCTTAAAATTTGTTTCTTATTTTCCAGATGCTCCGCAAAATAGTCATTATCGCCCAATCATCGAACTACCTCACGTGTTGTACATCAATGCCCAGTTGCCCCGCGAGCATCGGCACAAATGGCGCTTTCTTTTCTCATCGAAAATCAACGGAGAAAGCTTCTCGACGATGCTGGGAAAAGTCCTGGACAAGGGACCCACGTTATTCTTCATTGAGGACGAGGATCAATACATATTTGGCGGCTACGCGTCCGAATCGTGGTCGGTGAAACCCCAATTTGGCGGCGATGACAGCTCATTGCTCTACACCTTAAGCCCTGCCATGCGGTGCTTTTCGGCCACATCTTATAACAATCACTATCAGTATTTGAATTTGAATCAGCAGACTATGCCGAATGGCCTGGTGAGTAATGTTTAGGGTAATTGATTGATTGCTCTGCTAAATGTTTATATTTGGTATACAGGGCATGGGCGGTCAGTTTGATTTCTGGGGCCTTTGGATTGACTGCAGTTTCGGCGATGGACAGAGCGTTGAAAGTTGCACTACATATCGAGATTATGTGCAGTTGAGGTGAGTGTATATTTCTCCTTATCCATCATCTGGGACGAGCTTTTAGTTGGGCACATAATTGTCCCACCCTGCATACTTCTACCAAAGGCACTAGAATAATAAGATGCGTAACGGCCGTACATTGGTTTTGCACTATGCAGCCACTTTTTTGGTGGCGGCAGTAATTGCTCTCTTCCCGCTCGCATAAAATTGAGAGCATAAAAAAAAAGCGACATATTAGTATAAAGTAATTATTATAATAAAGTAATATTAAAATAATTCGGTATTATTATGTACATCTATTCACCTATTACTATTTCTATGATGTAGTTAAATAATTATCATATTAAGGCAATCCAAAATTCGAGTTTTTACTTTTTACTAACGAGTACTTTGTACTCGATTGCCAGAGTACAAATAATATAGATTTTTGTTTAGGAAGCATATTTTCTTGTAGCCCTATAATTCCCAACTAGTTCTAGTGAAGACTGTAAGGCATGTCTTCTAATTTAGAGTCACAAAACATTTCAAGTAATCTCTCTTACCGGTCGAGCAGTGAGTGTAGTGTATGTATGTATGTATGTATGTATGTATGTATGTATGTATGTATGTATGTATGTATGTATGTATGTATGTATGTATGTATGTATGTATGTATGTATGTATGTATGTATGTATGTATGTATGTATGTATGTATGTATGTATGTATGTATGTATGTATGTATGTATGTATGTATGTATGTATGTATGTATGTATGTATGTATGTATGTATGTATGTATGTATGTATGTATGTTTGTATGTATGTTTGTATGTATGTATGTATGTGTTACTTGCACAAAGTAGTAAAAATTGTCTTAATTAAAGCCTGAAGAATGTTTAACTTACTGTCGGAACACATAGTTATTGCTGCTTTTAATATTTGCTTAGGAAAAATATTTTTTTGTTGCCCTATAATTCCCAACTAGTTCTAGTGAAGGCTGTAAGGCATGTCTTCTAATTTAGAGTCGCAAAATAGTTCTTACCGGTCGAGCAGTGGGGGTAGTGTATGTGTTCTCAAGTGTGATTACTTGCAAGATCAAATTGGCATCCCTCTTGAACAAATAACCGGGCAAATGTTATTCATACAAGTGTTTGAAATGTTATAATATATTATTTATTCATAAAAATATTTAAAATACAATATAAAATTATTGTAAAGAAATTGATTACCCTACACTGAAAGGGATATATATTTTTATGTTTAATCGTATACAAAGTGCTACTCTCTCTCTCTCTGGCTCTTGAACAAAAATTCGAGAGATCCTGGAGCCAGCTCTAGAGCCAGCCCGAAAAAATCGTGTGCAAAAACATCGTATGGCGTTACGCATCTTATTATTCTAGTGTCTTTGCTTCTATCCTCTGGATTTCAATTTAACACTATTTCGATTATTTATCTTCCCATAGTAAACGAAAGCAATTCAAAATCCGAAACATGGAAGTTTGGGCCGTGGGAGATTTACCCGTAAAAGAAGAAGAAGAAGGCGAGGGTCAAGTAAGTAAAATGTAACTCTATACATAAGATTAAATATTTAATCATAATTTAATTAACCCTCAGAAACGCTCGGTGCTGGATGGAAATTTGGAAGATCGCGCAATGTTGGAAATCGCGGGCAAGAAAATGCATTCGGATGGCTTGCGTGAGCCCGGCATGGATGATTGATATTATATGAAACTATTTGAGGAGAAGGCTTGGTTTTATCCTCGAGAATTTGTGAGACCATGCCCATTTTGGGTGTGCAGTTAATAATTCAATTCAGTTTCCTTAGCTTTTTGCAATCCCTATCGAACACACAGAAAAAGTCCTGCGAACAAAAGAGTATTTGTTCAATCCATTCCTATAAACGTTTTTGTTTAGCTATTAATGTTTATATATACAATGTATAATGGATATAGTTTATGTAATACTGAGAGTATTGTTGTTGCGTTTTAGATCTTAAAGTGTGAACATGAAATCATTTAAGTGATGTAACAAAGAAGCAAACATAATAAGCAATGTTAATTCGTCGAATTTTTCCCATTTTTATCCTACGTCAATAAAATGCAAAATAATTGCTGAATTTATATGAAAGTCTTCAAAGTTAAATGTTTGAGCATGCGAAGGTAAAGCTGTTAAATGCCATACAATACAATACATTATAATTTAGATCCCCAAAATGCTTTCGAGTCGGTTAACGATTTATTCCAAGACATTTTATTTATTTCATGTGAAACAATTTGAGAAAGTGATGAAGGAAACTTCAGTCATTATCATAATTTCATTATTTTTTAATTTTAGGTGGGAGTTTAGCTAAATTGTCTTATGGTTGACCGTTGCATAACATTTAATTATAACATTTTTCCGTTTAATCACTAGTTTTAGATATCGACGGCATAGCCCGAAAGTGTGATTCCAGGTGCAATCTCCTCCTCTACATAGGATCCTGCCTCCTCGAAGGACCTGGCATTGCTGTCTTCGAAGCTGCGCCCCACGCTGGCAGGCGATTGTCTCAAAGTCGGAGCCCTCTGCTGCTGGCCGAAGTTCCTAGACACACCATAGTTTCCCGATGAAGAGTTATAGCCCTCATCGTCCTGGTAGCGGCGACCCGTCGAGCGCAGCTTGGGCGCCTGGAACGTGTGTTGCTCACCACTGTCCGATCCCCGGCGACTGTTGAAGTCATAGGTGTTGGTCTCGGATCCCCTCGGATAGTTGGTCTTGCGCAGCATGGCCTTGAAGTTGAATGGTGGATCCTCAGAGTTCTGGAAAGCAAACATGTGAAGAATTTCCTTAAGATCATCGATAGTCGATATACACTTACATCTCCCTCGTTGCGAGCCATGTTCTGAAGTTCCCTGACTGGATCCGATGGTGGATACGAGGATCTCTGCTGGTAGTTGCGTTGCTGCTGGTTCGGGTTATTGCGGTAATAGTTGGAAGAGGGCATTGGTGGAGGAGGAGGTGGAGGCGCCGCATAGCCCTTCAGGGAGTTGCGCCTGGATCCAGATCGATGTACGCCCCAGTTCTGGTTGTTATAGTTGCTGTTATAGCTGTTGTAGGCATTGTTATAGGCATTCATGTTCATCTGCATTTGATTTCTGCAAAACATAATCACTAAATGGTAACCGTAAGTTCAAACTTCATGTATGTATGCTAACCTCCGCAGCTGCTGGGGATCTCGGAAGTAGCCCTGATTGTAGATATTGTCGCTCTCGCCCATGCGATCCCAGTTGGTCTGGCAAGCCTGCTCCTTCTTATAGGCATTGTAGGTCAGGGCACAAGAAGTCATCGAGGGATTGCGCTGCAGAGGGCTGTCCCACGGCTCGTCGTCCTCCATGTGCTGGGTGAGTAGCTGATTGGGGAACGTTTGGCGGGAAATGGAGTTGGCCGGGTCCACCATGTACTGGGTGTCGTAGAAGGGAATCTGATCCAGGCGGAATGGCATCTTCTTTATGGGCACTGGCAGCGGTCCCAGCTGCGAGGAGTTCACCTCGCGCATGTTAATCCTCTCGAAGGGCACAGCCCGAGTACATTTATTCAACCCAGCCACCATTCTTTGGTTGTAGATGTGGACCTGATACAGAAGGAATGAGTTGTTTTAATGAACAAATATTCTATACTATATGTTGAAGGAACAGAAATTCGAACGCACCTGCTGTGAGAGATTGACAAAATCCTGGAAGCGAGCCGCGCGGTAGTGCAGGAGCACCTGGAAGATGGACTTCTCGCGCCACTTCTTGGCAAACGGGCGGATGAAGTCGGCGGTGTTCTCGTTCAGTTGGCCGGACTTCTCGTTGACCAGCGGAGGAAGGCGGACGCGGTCGCGGAATCCCCTGAAGGCTGTGGGAAAATGGAAACGGAGGAGGGCCGTTAGAGTAACCCATTTGAAAAGCGGACGCGCTGGTGGACGGAGGTGAATGAGAGGGAAGTCACCTTAATTTAATTAAATTTTCATTTCTTTTCTACGCAGCACTTATAATTCATCTCCTTTCGCAGGGGCCGTCGATGTTAAGTGTTATGTCTCAGACAGCTATAAGCCGATTGGTTGCATCAGATGGAGAACACAACCGCCCAGCGGGGTGGGATCCACATTGGACACCACTAAGCGGCTTAAGTGGTTCGCCGAGACCCTAGACTAGATGATTGCCGGTTGTTTGCGTTTTCTACATTTTATTGGTAGTTGTATTACGAGTAGTATCGATCGATATAGTGATATAGTGTGTATAAATGGTATATAGTAGGGGCCTATTCCTCGGTGGAGGCCTGCTCGATTTTGGCTATTCGCACCGCTGCCAGAGCCTCGTCCATTCTGGCCTCGAGGAACATCTCCTCCGCCTCCGAGGGCGTCTCGCTTATGTCGATATGCTCCTCGTCGTACTCTCTTAGCCTATCCACCTGCGTTTTTTTACCTTTTTGTATTTTGGACGCGGCGACATCATGATGCTCCGCTCCCTTTTTGCCCACTAGTAGGGAATTTAAAATTAGTTTTCATGCCTTGTACTGTCTAAGTATTACATATGTGTATCTTACATTTGAACACTTTGCCGCCCTTGACTCGTTTTCTGGCTAACAAAGCTCGCATCATGGACTGCACTTTGATGACCTTCTTCACCTGCAGCTCATACAATCTGAAAGCAATGGATAGTACTAACTTTTCTCAGAGTGTATGAACCGGTAGCTCACCTGGCCAAGAACTCATCGTTATAGTAGCGCAAGAATACCTTGGTCTTGCCCAGGACCCAGCCTTCCATCTTGAGGCGTAAAAATAGTAGACGACAGTTGTCCTTGGTCATCTCCACGGGCTCATCAAAGTCAAAGGCAAGGAATTGGTATCTAATCAAAATATAAAAAATATATATTTAGCAATCTTCAGCAGCTTACTGGGAAATTCATGAAATCAATGGAATGGCAGCGATTACCCACCGCCTTAGGAACTCCTCGAACGGCAGCCGTGAGCTAAATCCTTTCTGACGAGCAATAACAGTGTCCAGAACTCCCAAGGCCTTCATCTGTTGCTGGACGACGTCCGAGTGGAAGGATCTGGGCTTGTACTCCAGATCAGCGCGGATGCAGCGGACGAAGTGCACGCCGAGATTGGCATTCTGGCTAAGCATTTTGAGCAGGGTCAGGCAGGTGAAGCGGAAGTTGGCCGCCAGGGTACGGAGGTTGTTCACCTGGGAGATGCACCCGGCACTTAGGGTATTCAAGGCCTGGAAGGCATAGTTTACCCAGATATTGAAAATAGAAGAGGAGTTAGTTACACTAAAAAATGATGGTGATACATTTATAAATTGAAACTTACGTATGACTTCCGTTCGGTTTCGTCCTTATGCTGCACTGCCTCGAATGGCATCGTGAGATTGCCAGCCTTGGTCAGCTGGTTGGTGAACATGAGCATGATGCTCTCATCCAGCGAGGAGCGGAAGGTCTCGATCATTTCCGGCGGCACAAAGTCGCGGTTGATGTCGGTGAAGGCGCGCGTATCATAGATGATGCGTCCCGTGTAATGGGCCACGGATATTTCAGTGGCAGTGTGCTTCTTCACAAACTGGCTGTGCTTCTCGGAAACGCGATCTGCAGATGGAAGGTAGTCAAATCATAGATACAAAGAGGCGCCAGTATTGGTAGTATACCCATGATTAAATCCTGATCTTGGCAGGAGCGTGAGGCGTCGTCAATGATGTAGAACAAGCCATCCGGCTTGGTTAGCAGATTATCCAGGGCTGTCTTGTTGTCATAGAAATTCAAGTTGATGGTGTCAATGTCTTCAGCCTCCATTTCCAGCATTTCGCTGATAAAAATGCGCTGATTGTAGTGATATTGCATTTGCTCGTTTAGAGTGTTGATCATCAGCTGCTCGAGACCATTCCGATTGAAGCACTCAAAGCCAAACATGTCGTGGACAATGATGGCATTTGAGTCGCCGCTGGAAAAATGATTTAAATAACACCGCTTAGCTTATGAAGGTGCAACTTCATATACGTATTACTTACAACACAGCCCGTGGGAAGGACATGTTCATGTTGATCCTGTTGATGATGAAGTCCACCAATCGAGAGTAGAGTGTGCTGGCCACCGCATCGCGTGCATCCCTGGCTTCTTCAGTGGTATACTGTCGCCTCTCGGCGATGCCGCCTTTGACCATGATGAAGTTGGTCAGCGACCACATGAACTTTTTCTCATCCACACGGAGCAGCTCCGCGATCCGGGACACAATGTCCGTGTTCTCCACCTCCGCAAACTTTCCGTTCTGCCGGAAACGGATGTTGCCAATGTTCAAAATGGCCGCCAGGACTTTGCGAACGGTCTCCAGTTGCTTGTGATTGAAGTCAATGTCCTGCAGGATGGTCTCGAACTCCCTGTACTTCTCCACATTGCCCTCGGGATCATCGCGACGATACTTGAGTTTCGATGGCGGAACTTCTGGCGGTACTCGCAGATAACGATAATTGCGATCGGCCTTCAGATTGTAGTCCTTGAGCTGATTCTGCTGATTGATAAAGTCGTAGAAGTAGTAGAAGATGTGGAAGTTGTGCTGGGTTCCATCCGTAGTGGCCACTCGCAGTTTCTCCAGCATATACATATTGAAAACGGCCCCACTCATCTTGCCGGTCTTCCCGAAGGTCAAGCAGTATTGTAGAACACATCTGGTGGAGTCGTTGTTCACCGGAGTGCCAGCATTCACCAGCATCAGGATGGCCTTGATGGAGCTCTCCACGCGTCCGGTGGCCCCTCGGTTTCCGTCGCCCAGGTAGCACAGGTGCTTGATCAGCAGCCGGGCATTCGTGGACTTGCCGGAGTAGCTCTCTCCGGAGAGCACAATGTGCTGCGGCTCCTTGTGGTGCAGCATATCCTGGTAGGCGATGTCGGCCACCGAGAAAATATGCGGCTGGTTCTCCGAACGCGACTTGAAGCGATACTTGGCATGGAACTGCAGAAAAGGTAGTTGAATCGTATTTCAATGTAGTTTTCAGCCGCTTTACACTTACCTCTGGCGGGAATTCCTGCTTGATTTCGTTGGAATTCAAGGATAAGAGGATATCGCCAATGAAACTGTAGGATTCGCCCATCAAAATGCGATGACGC